GCAATAGTGCAGCGAGTTGGTTCTTTCTGAGACTGTATCGTTGTGCAGGGGATCCTCTAGGAGATGGAGAGAGCTGTGTGGCAACTCAGATAATGACTGGGGCTAAGCTACATCAGAAAACTGTGATAAGGATCCATTGTGTCTCCATGTCTCACATACCTGGATTCTTGTCAGCCTGATGTAGAAACCGCAGTTCTTGTGGCAGGTCTAATCCCCTCCTGGTGCTGGACAAAGCATGGTAATCAGTAAGGGGATTTGATTTATCATTTCTCTTTGGTGTATTCCTCCAGGTAGCCTTGCACTTCTTCCTGAAGTCCCAGGGCTTGCAGTAAAGAGGAGTTCTTTTAGGAAGATGAAAACTCTTAATTTCAGCATTCACCTCATTTACTTCATAATCCCATTGAGGTTTCTAAGAAGATTATGGAGAAAAACCATAGGCTGGGGCAATGCCTTCCGAAAGCTAATGTCATGTTTTACTCCAGCTCATATGATGCATTCAACAGCCTCATCTAGTCTGAGTTTAGAATTGAGCCATGGGTGAGAATTCACTAGTTAGCCAAGGACCATGAAGTTAGACAAGAGACAATGCTAGCAAGAGAGTTAAGGTCTTGTCATCCTTAAGCATGGGGATACCCATGAGTTATGCTTTGGGGCTTCGGTTGTGTTTCAGAGGTTGCTTAGGTGGTACTGACAAAAGCTAGCTTTGGTGTAGTGCAGGTTGTATTTCTGGAGTTCCCCTGTAGTCACTGATGGGAGAAGGGTTTTATCTCTTGACCATTTTTGAAAGTCCAGCCTCGGGTGCTCTGAACTGGTGGAGCTTCACTTTTCCTTAACCATAGCTCTTGTACCTTGATAACCTGAGACCTTCCTCACAGTAGTCCTGATGGGCATCTGTCAGTGGAAATAAAGGAAACAAGATTTCTTCATCATTCTACTTAAGATGGGGCTGGCACATATATTTGAGATGTAACCACCTGCGTCACATTGCATCTGCTTTTGGAATATAATGCTGTACGGCTTAAATTTGGAGTTTTATCCCCTTGTCTTCCTTATAGCATAGATACACAGAATGGCTGAGGTGGGAAGGCACCGCTGGGGTCATCTAGCCCAACCTGTCTGTTCAAGAGGGGTCACCTATAGCACATGGCTCATGATTGCTCTCAGAGGGCTCTTGACTATCTCCAGGGAAGGAGGCTCCCCAACTTCTCTGGACAACCAGTTTGGTGCTCAGTCACCCCCACAATCAATTTCTTTCTCATGTTCAGGTGGAACTCCCTGTGTCTTAGTTCATGCTCTCTTCCTATCACCTGGCACCACTGAGAAGAGTCTTGCCCCATCCTCTTGACACACTCTGATCAGATACTCTCATACATTGATCAGATTCCCCCACAGCCTTCTCTTCTCCAGGCTGCCCAGGCTCCTTCAGCCTTTCATCACAGGAGAGAAGCTCCATACCCTTCACCATTCTAGTACCCTTTTGCTGGACTTGTTCCAGGAGCTCCATGTGTCTCTCATACTGGGAAGCCCAGAACTGGGCACAGAGGATTAGCTTGCAGAATATTGCCATATAAAAGTGCATCTCCTCTTGTACTGTGATAAAAGCTTTTTGATCCATTGATTGTAGTGCCCACTAGCAAGACCAAAAGCAATTCTAAAGAAGCCTGTGTGCGTTTGGTGTATGGGCATTGTTAAATATATAGTGTATGAATACACAGAGCAAGGCTATGATTCTAATCACGTGTAAGCAAACATATGACAGCTGTCAGGGAAGATGAGAGGTGCAAAACATAGAATCAGAATAGTTAGGGCTGGAAAGGAAAACATGACAACTACTTGCTGTTAGCAGTGTATCCGAAAGGGAGCCTGAGTCCTGGTTCTTCCTCAGCACGTGCTTGGCTTTGGGTCTGCTGTTCAGTTCCCCTTAGGTCAGTAGAGCCCACGTGTGCACTCATATTTAAGCATTAATTTAAGCTTAAGCATTTAAACAATGAAGCAGAGGGCACAGCTGAGGAGACTGTTGGGTTGAGCTCTGTTACATGAGTAAGAAAATGCAGAGATCTGCATGCACGAAAGAAAGAAAGGAAAAACCCGACCACTTCATCAAACGGGGAAAAATGGATTTTTCCTTTGACTTGGCTCAGATCTTGGCTCCTTCAGAGACTGGTATGCAGCATATGATAAATGCTTTATAAATATGTTTTACATTATATGATATGTTTTCATCTGGGCACAAACTGACCGTAAATCAGGCTGAAATACAGCCCAGTATTGAAAGCCAGGGCAAGTGTTTCAGTGCAATGTTAGTGCATAGTTTTCAAGGGGATAGGCAAATGGTGAGGCTGGGTCACTAAATAACTGGATTGCTGCTGAAACAGAGCAGTTTAAGGACAGAAATCCCTTAAATACCTGAAAAGGGACAATTGATTTTTGAATATTAGGCTTTCAAAATTCTGGGTTTCCACTCTATTCTTTTAGCTATTATTAGGAGACAATGTTTTTTGATTAAATCACCAGCTTCTGTACCACCTCAGATTTGCATTGGATCTATGTTCCACCCAGGCAAAACTTTGTGGATTCTCCACCTGTTTGGAAAGCTCTACCAGAGCTCTGCAAGAAACAGAGAGTTTTCCAGTGGGAACATAACCTGAACATGTTACCTAGCAAAAGTAATTCCTCTTCCATTTGATGTATTTGGTTTCTTTCTGTTTGCACAGTCAGAACATTATTGTGTTGTTTCATTCTGGTTTTCCTTAGCTCTACAAGTCAGGTATTGTCAAGGGTGTGCTTTAGTGATGGTTCCATGCAGCTCCCCAGATCATGCAAACAGGGAAGCTCAAGCCATGAGAACAGGGATACAGAAATGCAGATCCAGCTATTCCTAGTTCAAATGGTTCCCTCGCAAAGGGCTGGCACAAGATTCAGTGGGTTATATTTTCTTCTTGGCCCTTATTTCTATTGTCATATTAATGTAACAGTACATTATTATTACCTTGTCACTGGCATTGGATGCTTCCCATTGCGTTCATAAATGGCATGCCAGGATTTTGTCAGCTGGACCTACACCACTGAGGCAGGCAGTTTCCGTTTCTGCTCGGACTGACAGAATTCCTCTTGGATTAAGCATTGTGACATGACTTCAGTGTTTGGATGTGCACTAAAAGACAGGAGTGGATGGAAGCATGGCACTGCTAGCCTTTCTCTGGATAGTCTTGCCAAGAACGGGGAGCTGACACAGTTCTGTACCTCCAGCTGAAATAAGTGATCGTGCCCTGTGCTGGGCACTGGTGAGGATGCAGCTTGAATCCTGTGTTCAGTTCTGGGCCCCTCACTACAAGAGAGACATTGAGGTGCTGGAGCGGGGACAGAGAAGGGCAACGGAGCTGGTGCAGGGCCTGGAGCACAAGTGTGATGGGGAATGGCTGAGGGACCTGGGGGGTTCAGTCTGGAGAAGAGAAGGCTCAGGGGGAACTTTAACGTGCTCTACAACTGCCTGACAGGAGGATGGAGCCAGGAGGGGGCTGCTCTCTGCTCCCAAGGAACAAGGGATGGGAGAAGAGGAAACGGCCTCAAGCTGCACCACGGTAGGTTTAAATGGAGATGAGGAACAATTCCTTCCCTGAAGGGTGCTCAGGCATTGGAACAGGCTGCCCAGGGCAGTGCTGGAGTCACCGTCCCTGGAAGTGTTCACAAACCACGTAGATGAGGCCCTCAGCACCATGGTTTAGTGATGGCCTTGGCAGTGCTGGGGGAATGATTGGACTTGGTGATCATTTCCAACCTCATTGATTCTACGACCCTATGAGTGAGTTGCATTGCAGAGTCCTGTTAGGAGGAGTTTCATTCACCCCATCCAGCTGCTTCACTTCCCTCCTCCTTCTGGAGGAGGATGAATCCCTCATTTCCCCTGTGCTTTAGCCCGTGTTCCCTTTAATGCTGTCAAATACATCATCCAGTGCTTGGGTAATTAATTGAAAAGCCTTAGCTTTTCTTGCTTCAGAAGGCAGAGGATTTGTCTCAGCAGTGCTAATGGGATCATGTGGCATTTGTGGCCTTTGCTCTGTCACGGCATATTGACTTTCTGCCTAAATCAGATTAATTTTACCCATATTGATTGCACAGTTATAACCCTCCATTACAATATTTTCATTAATTGTTATAAGTCTCCCTGCTAATAGGGGGTAAATGCTCTGCTGTTCTCACTCCGGGCTCTAATGAGCACGTTGATCACAGAATCCCAGACTGGTTTGTTTGAAGGGACCTTAATGCTCACCCAGTTCCAACCCCTGACCCCTTGCTCCAAGTGCCATCCAACCTGGCCTTGAACACTGCCAGGGATGGGGCATTCACAACTTCTTCGGTCCTTTCAGTTTGCTCATACACTAAAGGCTGAAGTTATTGATAAATGACTTTTTATTTGATGCTGAGCACTGCACCACTTACAGATAGGACTGGAAACTGTTTTCTTCATAACCCTGGATGTACTCTCATGAAGAAGAAAGGATTTACACTACCCTGGTCCCAAGGAAAGGCTGGTGGTGCCAGCCAAGTGGTGGGAGGCAGATCGGTCTCCTCCGACGCCTTCTTCTGCACCCCAGCTTTGCGATGTCCCCCTTCTCCCTCTAGACGCTGGGCCTCAAGGGTCAGTCGCTGTTTCGGCGTTGCTGGTGAGAATGGAACCAGGGTGGTGGACCGTGTCCGAGCGGCAGTCGCAGGGCTGTTCTATGGGAGAGGGGGCATGTCCGCTAAGGGAGGTGTCCGCTATCAGGTGCCGGAGAGAGCGCATCGAGTCCCCCGGCGGGGCCGGCGTGCGGCTGTGGCGGGTCCCGTGGCCTGAGCCTCCCGCAGCCGGCAGGGGGCGCCAGCGGAGCGGGGCGGACGGGGTGCGCAGTCCCCGCGCGTCGCGGCGCGGGGCGCAGCGGAGCAGCGGAGCGGGGCCGGGCCGAGCCGAGCGGAGCCGAACGGAGCCGCGGGGCGGGCACAAAAGCGCCGCGCCCGGCAGCCCCGCCTGGGAGTCGGCGCTCGGCGGGCCGGGGCTCAGCGCTCAGCGGCGCCGGGACGGGCGGCTGCCGCCCCGGGGGCTCGCAGGATGCCGGCGGCTGCGCGGCGGCGCGGGGCGCGGGTGCTATGGGCGCTGCTGTGGGTGTCCCTAGCGCGCTGCTACAACGTGGACCTGGGTCGCCCCGTGGTTTTCCAGGGTCCCAACGGCTCCTTCTTCGGGTACTCGGTGCTGCAGCACTACCACGACAGCACGCGGTGGTGAGTACCGCGCTCCCCCGCGGCAGCGCATCTCCTTCAGCGCGGGAAGCGGGACCGGACACGGCTGTTCCCCGCCGCTGTGTGCAGGCGCGGTGCTGTGGCTCCGCGCCCGTTGTGTGCGGGGGGATTCGCTCCGGTGTCGCCCGGATCCCTCACGATCCCCCCCACCCCTGTGTGCTGTGTTTTAACGTCGGTGGGGGCCCCGTCCCGGGCATCGTGAGCTGGCTGTCCCGGGCGGTGGTGGTCCTTGCGGGAAGCATGTAGTAGCTGATCCCCGTGACAGCGAACGCGTGGGGTTGAAGGAGGGTGGGTCGAGCCGTGTTAAACGGGAGGAATTTTAGCAGCGGTAACCTCCAGCGAGGAAACCCCGACGGCTGGAAGGACGTTCCCGAACCAGACGGCGTTTGCGTCCTCCGAGTGCCCGCTGTTGGCGTGGGGGGCCGCAGAGGAAACGCCTGTGTAACTTACAACCGGCCAAGAATGAACGATGATAGAAAGTTTGTCTACATCTCAAAAAATTATGCAAACTGGCAAGCTGCTTGTTTTTCCCGTTCAGTGAAAAGAGCCTTGGAACGCAGTCTGCCTCTCTCTTGTCTGGGTCAGAGGCTCTTTGTTAGCATTAAAACTGATTTCTCTTAATTGGACCTAGTCGATGTCATCTGGTGCACTTTGAATGTGAGCAGGAGCCGCTGCTGCCAATAAACGTCCACAAAGCTTGGCTTTATCTTTAACGCTGAGATACGGCCCCATCGCTCAGCTATTGATGTTGGAACTGTGGAGCACTGTGATATAAATAAATGTATTCATGCTGGCGTCCAGTTCTTTAAAAATGAATTTCTTTCACACCCTTTAGTTCGAGCAGTTGTATGCTCTGCCCTGCTCCATAGTGGCTTTCACGGAGCATTCATTTTCTAAGGACTTATCAGAAGACTTCATAGAGGAAAGGCACTTTGGGAGAAGAAAAGCTCTCAGTTAAAGCAATGCTTAACTTGGGGCAGGAACCAACAGAGGATGCAGAGGCTGAAAGCGACTTGTGTTCCACACAGACTGCTGGGGATGCACAGTGGTGCAAATGAGATGCTGGTCTAGTGGTGGGGTGGAACTGGAATGATTTGTTGCTCCTTGTGAAGGTGTCTGTCATGCTGATCAATAACAGGAATTGTCTGCAGATAGCACCTGGGATTTTAAGTTTGGATGGGGAGGTGAACTAGGGAGGGGAGTCTCCCAGGCATCCCACTTTGTTTGGCAGTGACACCAGAACAGCAGTGTTGGGCATCCATCTGAAGGCAGGCATCTGTAAGAAATCTGGCGTTTGGAAGTAAAAATGCCAGTTCTGCAACCTTCAGTTTTGTGAAAATGGAGCTTCTGCATGGAAGAATGGAGCCCTGGCTCTCTGCACCCAGGAATAAACAAGTATCTAAGATCATGAAGTGGTCTTCAATAAAAGAGTTGCTAGCCCTATCGCCTGAAAGGGTTAACAGGTCTTTAAATGGTTAGCATTGTCATTGTCCAAAATCATGAGGGCTTGATTGTCACTGCTGATGGAGAAGCTCCTCTTTTCATTGTGGAGCTGTGGAGTTAGTTTTCATGGGTGCTTTAAAACCCTGTGCCCAGCAGAGGCTGGGATAAGAAGTCTGGGTGATGTTTTTTATCCTGTCCTTGATTCCAGTTTGCTTTCCACAGCTGTGCTCTTAATGTGCGCATGCATCTTAGACTAGAGGTCAAGGATTATATAGTACTGTTTTAAACCATATTTATACTGTACAGAATCTTATACGTCCCTTTGGAGCATCAAATCTCTGATTTCAAGTTTAAACTGGTTACCACTTGCAGGGTATTGAAACACAAGATACAACCCCAGTTTATTGGATGAGTTCAGTGGGAAATGCTTAGTAAAATTCATGCCTTTTTTTCAGATTTGACAGATTTTTGTGTGTTGAAGCTTTCATGTGCAAAGATGTAGCTATAGAGCTATTTCCTTAACTGGCTTGTAGTGGGTAATTTGTATTCCATGTCCTCCCATTCTCTTGTAAATGTGATATTCTGGGGAAAGGCTGAAGTCTGATGTATGTAGTAAAAATGTTTTCTATTCAACCCATTGTAGCATACACCTCCTGTTAGTAGTTGTAGAGTTATTCCCTGGGTTTGTGTGCCCTTTTTCTTCTTCCCTTTGTAGCTTTTATATACCCAAAGAAGAGTTATGATTTCAGTTTCCTCGAGTCTGTTTGGCCAATATTGCACAATGGGCACTGGTTCAGCTAAGTTAACTTCAGACAGTGATATTCTGGGCACTCACAGCTTGCCTGGTGAGCTGTGCACTATGTGAGCCTGCAAAAATGTGGTTGATCATATCTGAGGCTGATAGGGCTCCTGCCTATCTAACATTATTTAATGTGTTAATATGTTCTTAAGCATTTCAGGGTGTTGTTGTGATAGTTCAAGAGCTCCTTGCTCTTTATTCCCCGAGGGCCTGATAGTCACCTAATGCACTTCTGATCATGAGAGTGTGTTATTCCCAGTAGCTTGTCCGTGTGCTGGTGTGTGTCTACCTATCAGTGTGTCTGTATATATAGTCACTGATTGATATTGAAATGGTATCTGTATGACCAGGTTCTTCAGTGTTTCAGCTGTTTTCCAACACCACAAAGGCACCTGCCTATATTACCTACATAGGCCTGCAGGCTTCCAGTAAACTGATTCAGGGCTTGGCGATTCCTGAGGATTTATATAAGCCAAGTGTTCTTGCAGGAGGAAAGAAAGGGGGAAGGAGAAATATTTGGCTTAAAATATTACCCCAGATAAATGTGAATAGTTAGGCTGCCACACAGCCATTGACACAGAAATTATATTGGAGCATGGGTGTTCAGCCTCCATTGTGATGGACTAAATCAGTGCCTTTGACTTGTCTGAAACAGTTAATTGTGGCAATGCTTCCATTTAGGAGTTGTTTTTGCACACTTCTCGTCTCAAGGAAAGTTTGTCATCACAGATGTGCTGAGGTTATTGTACTTCTGACAATGTCTCCTTTTCCTTCCTTAAGCGGGTTTTATGGCTGTAAATCCTGAAAGGTTTACCCAGTTCCCCGTCATTGCCTTTTTCAGCTGAGTAAGGAACCAGGTGGCTGCTCGCATTTGGAGCAGAGACAAGTTGAAGTGCTTCTGTTCTCTGGATGTAATTTTGAAGCTTGGAGTAAAGACTCAAGTAACAAGCAAGAAACCACCCCAGACAGCTTAAAAAGAAACAAATGTCAATTTTTACCCCATTAAAAAATGTTAATAATGTAACATTTCTTACTGTTCTTTTTTGAAATGCTACTTTTATCTCTCTCTTTTCTTCTCCCTGTGCCTCTTTCTAGCTGACACCCCCAAATCCCACAGCAAGTCCAGGGTAACAGTTTTATCCTTTCTGGCAACGTGATCTGGCACGACAAAGCACTGGAGTCAGTTTAGTTGCACGGTGTCCTGCTGTTAGTTTTACAATAAGAAATGAGTCTGGTTTCTGTGCTGTTGCTTCATTCCTTCGGCCCTGCTCTTCACTGGATTGCACTGCTGCTGAAATAATGAAGGCTGTTCTGCACCTCAGGCCGATCAATATGTGTTGTTAGTGCATAGAATCACAGACTGGTTTGGGTTGGAAGGGACCTCAAAACTCATCCCATTCCAACCCCTGCCACAGGCAGGGACACCTTCCACTAGTGCAGGTTGCTCCAAGCCCCTGTGTCCAACCTGGCCTTGAACACTGCCAGGGATGGAGCAGCCACAGCTTCTCTGGGCACCCTGTGCCAGTGCCTCAGCACCCTCACAGGGAAGAACTTCTGCCTAAGAGCTCATCTCAATCTCCCCTCTGTCAGGTTAAAGCCATTCCCCTTGTTCTGTCCCTAAGGCCCTTGTCCAAAGCCCCTCCCCAGATTTCTGGTATCCCCCTTTAGCATGATTGTACTTTGTGTGCAACCAGAAGGAAGGTGCAGGAACAGGCTGACCCTGTGGAGGGTGGGTGTTGCATTAACGATGCTGTGTTGCATGAATGATGTAGTGATGCTTTAGATGCTGCCGTGGTGTTTTGGTGAGTTAGGGCTTGACCTTGTTGGTCACAGGTCATCCATCTGCCATCCAGATAACAGCCCTCCTGTTTCTTGCTCTGCACGTAATGGATGAACCACTGGGTTTTTTGTTTCAAGGGCTTAGCCAGTGACAGAGACCTCTCTGAAGGGAATAAACTCAGCTGGGCTGTGCTGGTGCTGCTTCTGAAATCAGCTGGATATTTAAAGACTTACTCCTCTACCACTTAACATTACGGTGAGGTGAGGTACCTACACTCCCCAGTCCTTGAGCTGTGATTGCCTAATCGCTGCTGGCATGCTGGAGGCTGATGCTTAATGTGCTTGGCATCTCTCCATGCCATCGGTCAGCTCGACGCTTCCCTTCACTATTCCTTCTGCTAAATGCAGCTCGTAATTTCCAAATCTGTATGTCCCAAGGGTCAATCACCAGCAAAGTGATAGCCACTGCTCTGCAGGAAATAATTGTCAGGAGGTGTGGATTCCCCTGTGGCTAGGAAAGCTTCTCATCCTTTAATGTTGGCTGCTGCTGAAATGTGATGGTTTCTAGCCACAGAGCTGTGTAGTTGTCTCTGTACAGATGAGGGCGTTTGTCCTTGAGTGCGTGAGTTTAAATGCAAGAGGAGAAGGTTAAACGGCCTCTGCCTACTGCTTCTCATGTTGGTTTAGTCCCCAGTACTTTATCATGCCAGATGGAACAGCAGATCTCTGAATGTTTCACTTGCTGGGACCTAGGTGCAAGAATGAAAGCACGAGGCAAGATCCTAAGATGACACAGTGTGTGATGTAGGTGAGATACCAAATTTGAATGTATGGACATTCAGGACAATCCAAAATAGATTTGCTTTGGGACACATCACCGATTGCCTTTACTGACCAATTCCTTCTACTCAATCCATATGCAGAAATGGCAGCAGACGTTTTCTTTTCAAAAGGCATATTTGCTCAAGGCAGCAATATTGTCTGTGCCAGTAGCCTACTTGAGTCATTCATAATCAATTTTTCCCATTCAGCTGTTTAAAGAGACCTGAAGAGTCTTTGTAATGTAGGCTCCTTCATCTCCATCTTGCATTCTGCAACCCAAGGTATCATGTGCACTAATTGCTGAATCATATTTACTTTTCTTAGGTTAGGCAAAGCTTCTTTTAAACCGGAGGTCAGTGCGGCCTACGTTATCTTATTGTTCTAACAGGTCATAGAAACAGTTTCTTGCCATTTGCAATTTGAACCTGCAACTCTTTAAGCTAGTAATATCCCCCCTTATTTATTTTTGTTAGACCTCATGAATGTCAATAAGTGAATGACATGCATTCATCGCCTGTGTAAATGAAATGATTGGCATTTGATTTTCTGCCTGCTGCCTGCCTAGTGGGATTTCCATTTGGAGCTATTATTTCAGGCTCCTTTGCACTCGCTCCCAAATGTGTGCAGGCTTTGTAGTTTTTAGCAATTTAAGTATTTCAGAATTAATTCTTTGCAGTTGTGAAAACACGTGTGTTGTAGAGTGCAGCCCCATCTAACTTCTCAAAATGATACAGGTTAGCATGTGAAATGGAGAAAATGGTCATTTAATGTAGGGCTTTCCTCTTCTTTTTGTAAATACATTTCCAAGTGCCACAGGACAGTTTCCAGGGGGTGGAGATGTGTTGCTGTTTGGTGTAGACCAGACTCTGATGCAGGAGCAGCTTTTCCAGGTAGCTGAGGTTGACCCTGTATAGGTGCATGCCTTGTGCCTTGGGTCTCCCTGTGTGTGCTGGGATGGTGATGATGGGTGGTGACTGGGAATGGAACTTCAAATTGGAGGATGAAGGGAAAACTGTTGAAAAGAGGGAAAGCTTCCATTCTGGCGCTGGTGCTGGGTTGTCCATCTGTGCTGTGGGTGGGCTGTGCATGAGGGCTGACTTTGCACCAGTAGCTCTTTACCCCTTTAGTGGCTAAACCAAGAGAAGCATCTCCTTGAGCTGCTGCTGCCTCCCAAGTATCAGCCTGGATCCACACATATGAGTGCCGGAGGCTTAGCCCTTTAGAGATGGTTGCCTTTACTTCCAGCCCTGGGCTTAACTTCAGCAAGGACGTTGTTACCTGCAGAAACTCTGCCCTGCCCTCACAGTGTGAGAGCATCGGCAGAACTGCCACTAAACAACCTGGTGCTCTGCACCATCCTGCCTAGAGTGCATTCCTTCTACTTCACCTCTGTCCTCATCCTTGTGTGCCCAGATCCTGGCTCACAACCAGGTGGGAAAGATTGTCCCTTTAATGAGGAGGCATAATAAGGGCTCCCTTAATACTAGTGCTTCCCCTGTAATCCTACTCAAAAAGCATCCCTTAGAGCACAAGTAGCTGCTAGCTTGCTGAACAGTTAACTGGATCAAAACACAAGTGATTAAGAAGTGTTCATCATCTTTCAAGGGTACGTTAAGGAACCCTATGGTCAGAGCTGTGCATTGGTTCCTCACAGAGGCACCAGCTCTCATGTGGGATAAACAGCCTTCATAGCCTTAATGGTAAATGTTGGTCGGTAGCAGTGCATCATGGAAGAGGTTTGCTCCTGTGTTGCTGGTTGGGGTTTTTGCTGTTGTTCTTTAAGGTTGTGATTACGTGAAATGTTCTGAGCATGGGGTGCCTCAACTTCCTAAACAAGCTTATTAATATTTGGCTGGGTGGCAAGCACGCAGGTTCAGATTCCATCCTCTTGTGGGTGCGTGTATTGTGCTAGTTCTTGGGCTGATAGGGATGTAGCTAAAACTTAGGAAAAATAGGTGCAGCTGCTGTTGTCCATCTAATACCTTCCTAAATGCTTTCAGGGGGCAGGGTGTGTGTGTGGGTTACTTTAAATGTGTTACAATCCTAATGGAAATTTAACTTGTTAAAGTATTTGTGGCTTCACTGGGGGAAAATGCCTTTATTGTGCGTGGTGTTTTCAGTTTGAATCAATGTCATCGTTTCACAAGGCTGCTGAGAAAAATCCTTTTGCTGGGGAAGCTCTGGCAATGTGAACCTTGCTGTTGGTTGTTTGCTCATTTCTGTCTCTTCTCCTGAAATTAATTACTTGTTACTTTGCTTTTGGTTTCCAGGGTCTTGGTTGGCGCTCCCAAGGCAGAATCTAAATACAGCACCTCTGTTCAGTCCCCAGGAGCAGTGTTTAAATGTCGAGTCCATACCAACCCTGACAGAAGATGCACCGAGCTGGATATGGGGCGAGGTGGGTAATTATGATGCTTGGGGGAGGGAGAAAGGGAGAACCAAAAAACCACCAATCCAAATGGCTCGCGATTGAAGAGGCTCCAAGACATTGAGAGGGATTTGCCAGCCTCCCCTGATGGATTTTAAGCACTGGTAGTAAAAGTGTTATATCCTCTTCAGCATTATGGAATAGCATCCCACAGGTGCTGGTGTCCTCTCAGTGGCCCCATTTGCTCTCTCCAGTGATTAACCAGGCAAAGATGGGGTTTTCCCTTCTTATCCCAAGTTGCTGTCTATTCTCTACCTGCTTCAGTGTGACTTTGCAGCGTATTGGTGAGTGAGGGCTTGGAAGCGCTGCTGTGTTATGGTGGTCTTGTAATGTGTGCTGCTGTAATCAGCAACGTGGAGATCAGTGGGTTCCCTCGTCATGCAGCACATAATTCCTTGGGTTTGCTTTTTTTTTTGTGCTACAGGAAATAAGTTTCTCAGCAAGAACCATGCTTGTACACTGTTGTGCAGGATTAGGACTGACTTTGTTTTCCCTCATGTACTGTCTTCAGTCAGGGGAAGGTGGAGTCCTAAAGTAAAACTCTGATCTAAAACCTTATGCTTGATTCTGATGGAGGAAATTGAAGCCTTTTAATGTTTTGTTTCTCATGGTGAGGTGTGGTGTTGCTTTCTCTGCCTATAGAAAAGGCATGTTAGTATTGTTCATCTTTCCATGACTGAGGCAAGCAGGATTTATTTTTATGATGCTTAGGTGTGTTAAAACAGTGCTTTGGCTAAGTTTGATTTGCCCAGCTACTGTAATGTAAACTGTCTGTCATGGACTCATGAATACTGCAGATTTAGGTTTCAGTTGTCTTTTTTTTAAGTGCCCAGATCTCTCTTTTTCAAGAGTAATTTGCTTTGATTGCATTCTGCAGGCACTTCCACGTCTCTCCCACTGAATTCAGTTGGAAGGTTTATTGAAGTAGAGTGTGGACATGCTGTGATAGCTACTCACTGTTCCTCTATGTATTTGTATGGTGCCTAGTAAGAGTATTGTTGCGATTAATGTGTACAGGAGCTAATAATCAGGCTGAAAGGGAAAAGAAATGCACTGTGAGGTGGATGTTTGATGGGCAGTCCCTTTTCTTGCAAGGATTCTTTGGTGGGTATTTAAAACTCATGTCTCTGCCTTGCTGTCTTTGCCCTCTTTCTGTAGGCAACTCTCGGGGCATGCTCTGTGGCAAGACCTGCAAAGAAGACAGAGATGACGAATGGATGGGTGTGAGCCTGGCTAGACAGCCGAAGGCTGGTGGAAGCGTGCTGGTAAGTCCATTCTTTCCTTTGATCTCATTAGAACTGCTGCTGCTGTCTGACTCCTATGCTAAACACATCAGGATTAATGTGCTCGGCAGCGACTGAAAGAGTCCAGCTTTACAGGCAACAAATTCTGTACTCTCTTCCTTAAAGCGGAAGGAAAAGTGAGCCCTAGCCAGGAAGCTTTATTTATAGAGGGAGGACTTCAAAGCTGCCACACCTGACTTGTGTCACCCAGGGGCTCCCTCCTAAATCTGAGGGATTAAATCTTTGAACCGAATAAATAGAACTTTGTCTGGGAGGTACCTGCTAGTTTGTTCTTCTGGTCGCTTCTCTGAGTTTATGTCTGGAACATGTATGCATCCACTTTCCCCAAGTGCAGGCATTGCATGTCAGAACTCACACTGAAAAATGTAAGATGAGTCTTTGTGGTGATATTTTTCCTTTATGTATATCAATTTTCCATTAACGATGCATTAGAGCTGTGAGTAGAGATGACTTGATTGTGTGTGGGTGGCCTTGTTGTCTTTGATACGGTTGCCATGCACGTAGACAGGTCAAGGAGAGCAGATGTGATCCTTACGATGTGGAATTTATCTTTGCAAAGCATTTCCTGTGCTGGAAAAAGATAATCATAAGGGGAGCTGAGCAGAAACCTTTCTAAAATACATGGTTATTTTGTGATCAATAGTTGTCTGCATTTACATCTGCAATTGGATTTTGACTGTCTCCTGAGTGAACCTGTCTGCAGGAATGTTAACTGAAATGTAAGCATATTGCAGTGAAATACTGTGCACAGTATGGGTGGCAGGCAATTTTCAGGCTAGTATCCAGCTCTGACAACAATCTAACTCTAAACACTGCTGTTTGGGAGTTGGAAACTTCCACTATGACCCCATCTTTCCAATGGGGTAAGGGATTGCCCTGGTACATGACATCAAACTGTCACAAAGCTGGTAGTGAGAAAGATCTTGTGCAGTAATTACTGTGTCAATGACCTATGTAAAGGCAGTAGGTAAAGCTGCTTCATTCAAAGGCATTCTACTATGTACTCAAGAGTCCAAATACGCCCCAAGCCCTTGCACACCAACTTCCCCGTGGGGAGCAGGTGGTTTTGGTACTTCCCTGCAATGGTAAGTACTGTGGTTTTTTTATCTGATTGTCTCGTTTTGTGTACAGCTTGCCAGTGCTACAGGGGCCAGCCGATGCTCTGCTTTACATGGATGTTTTAAATGGGTGCAGTACCAGAGGAGGAGGGGAAAGAAGGGCATAAATAAAATGTACTACAAACAGGTACAGCAGAGCAGAAAATTAAGGCATTCATGCTAGCGTGATTTGTATTTTCAAGGGATATCCTGATCTATATGTTTACTCAGAGTAAGCTTGGGCTGGTTCAGCCTGAAGAAGAGAAGACTCCTTAAGGGGAGACCGTAGAGCAGCTCCAGTGCCTAAAGGGGCTACAGGAAAGCTGAAGAGGGGCTTTGGACAACAGCCTGTAGGGACAGGAGAATTGGAATGGTTTTAACCTGACAGAGGGGAGACTGAGATGAGCTCTTAGGCAGAAGCTCTTCCCTGTGAGGGTGCTGAGGTGCTGGCACAGGGTGCCCAGAGAAGCTGTGGCTGCGCCATTCCTGGCAGTGTTCAAGGCCAGGTTGGAGACAGGGGCTTGGAGCAACCTGCACTAGTGGAAGGTGTCCCTGCCCATGGCAGGGGGTTGGAACTGGATGAGCTTTAAGGTCCCTTCCAACCCAAACCAGCCTGGGAATCTAAACCAGCCCTCTGACAAAATTATACTGCTCTCACCAAGTAGATCATGTCTGCATGCTTGAGGATGTTTAAATATCTAATTCTTCTTGCAATTTGTTGCCAAAGTGCTCTGTCTTAAACTACTAATTACACATCTGTGCACACCTGTGTGTTGACAGAGCTTGGAATGAAGGCATAAGGATTCCATCATGGATGGAAAATACCTGTTTGTTTCAGAACATTGTTACTGTCTGTTTTGAGGTAATTTCTAAATGAAAAAGATTCATGGCTTTCCCATAAGCAGATTGTTTTTGTACACGTGCTCTTCTAATTTGTAAGATCAGGATTTCTTTTAAATGCAGCTCTTCTTGGAAGCCCCTGTGAGAAACTGCTGTTCAGATGGGACATGTCTGAATGTGGGTTTGCAGCCATATCTGCTGCAATTTAGCTTTTTACTGAAATTACCAGCAAACTCTCATGAGTGATTCCCTGCAGTTAGGAGAGAGTACATATATACCTATATATGTATAGTGTCAGACATTACAGCTCTATTTTCTGCACCTCTTTAAGGGGTTCCTTTAAGTCAGGGTGGTATTTTTCTGATCAATAACCCTGGATGGATTACAGTTAGTTGCCTTTTAAACCCATGTGAAATATTCACATCCTGTGTTAGTCCCACAGTTTAGCTGTGGAATGTACAAAGAAGTTGTTGCTTTTGCTTTGAAAACCCTTAGTGGCTGCAATATCTGTCTTATCAGCCTTCCCTGTTGCCTTGTAAGAGAACCGGCTTCAGTGGAACGGGTGGTAGGGGAGGTGAGGAGGTGCAGGGGAGGCTTTAGCTCGTGTTCAGTTAAAAACAGATTGTGTTTGAGCCCATGTTGGGCCACGATGTTGCTGAACTGGGGTTTTATGTTTGTGTGAGGGACTGAACAGAAAAGCAATGAGGATTTAAACAAATGATGAAGTGAGATTAGCTAAAAGAAGTTCTGTGGCTTCTGCCCCTGGGTATGCTGTCAGTCAATATTTGCATTAATCTAAGTGCTGCAATAGCAGAGCTGAGATTGCCAGCTCTTTCCAAACTGCAGCGGCAAAAGTCCTCATTTTACTTTCTTGGGAGAAGAGCTGGGAACAGTGCATTATCGTTTGGAGATCAGCCACAGTCTTGGTCTTCCTAAAGACCTGCCACATCTGTTATGACTGGTTTTATATCAGGTGTTGCTATTTTTCGTTTTAAGCAGTTGGTTGACTTACTGGCACATTTAGGGACTCTGTGTGTGTGTCTGTAGAAAACCCCATCACTGCAGCAAAGCCAGATGCCTCCTAGGAAAGAGCAAACCAGAAGTGGTCTGACAGTGGCACATTCAAAAGTACCTTGTTTGGACAGGAGTCAGCAGAGGGCTCTATAAGGACTGTGCATTCAGGTGGGGCACTTGGCCTCTGGAGTCAGGCCTGGGTCTCTTATGTTGATTTTCCTACGGTGCAAAGCCTGTGTTGGGTGTTAAAAGAGAAAAGCATCTGTAGTTTTGAAATTGCCTGTTCATTAGGCTGTGGTAATGCAATGTCTGCCATCAGTAGAGACCTCCATGTGCTTTGCCCAGAAGCAGTTTATTTCACAGAACCATAGAAACTCAGACTGGTTTGGGTTGGAAGGGACCTTAAAGCTCATCCAGTTCCAAACCCCTGTCACAGGCAGGGACACCTTCCACTAGAGCAGGTTGCTCCAAGCCCCTGTGTCCAACCTGGCCTTGAACACTGCCAGGGATGGGGCAGCCACAGCTTCTATGGGCACCCTGTGCCAGGGCCTCAGCACCCTCACAGGGAAGAACTGCCTAAGAGCTCATCTCAGTCTCCCCTCTGTCAGGTTAAAGCCATTCCCCCTTGTCCTGTTCCTGCAGGCCCTTGTCCAAAGCTCCTCTCCAGGTTTCTTGTAGCCCCTTTAGGCACTGGAGCTGCTCTACAGTCTCCCCTTAAGGAGCCTTCTCTTCTCCAGGCTGACCCAGCCCAGCTCTCTCAGCCTGGCTCCAGGGCAGAGCTGCTCCAGCATCTCCATGGCCACCTCTGGACTTGCTCCAACAGCTCCACATCCCTCTTGTGCTGGATGCAGGACAGCAGCAGGAGTCTCACCAGAGCAGAGGGGAGAATCCCCTCTCTCAACGTGCTGCTCAAGCTCTGAGGATACAGCCAGCACACGGTTGGTTTCTGGGCTGCAAGCACACACTGCTGGCACATCCCCTTCAAGGGTTTGCATCCTTTCTCTCCTATGCCATGGTAGAGCCAGAGGCTGTGCCCTGGCAGCAGCTGCTGAGCATCAAAGTGTTGTGATGGCTTTGTCATTGCACAGGGGCTCACCTGCATCAAAAAAAAGGGGGGTTATAAACTGTTAATTGTTTGTAATCACCTTAGGGAGGGGAGAAAACCTCACAGAATAACCCTCTCCACAGCATCAAATTCAGGTGACTCATCCCTGTTCCCAAGAGCTCTCTGGGCATGTGCCAGAGAAGGCTGTGTCCACCTTTGGTAGCACATCACCTTGCCTCAGCAACACCGAACAATTCAGGGGCTGTGTACTGTAATCCAGCTAAACGGTGTTGGGAAGGCCAAAGAACTGAAAGCAGCTGTGGAGGAGCCATGGCAGGGAGACAGATGTGCTGGCTTCCTGGCTGCAGAGAAAGGAGGTTTGTGTGGGGAAGAGGAGCTGCTGTAAATCCTCTCTATTGGGAAAATGTCAGATCCTGCAGCTGTGGCTTGGGGGAGTCTGGGGAAGCCCCTCCGAGGTAACAGAGGTGGAGCTCATCGCTTGGAGTGATGGCTATGAGCTGTCCACAGGCTCAGGCAGTCAGTGGTGGAATGCAGCATGCCTCAATACACAGAATGCTGAAGGCACAGGAAAGTGATCATTAACAAACCCCAAACAACCCCAGAACCAAACCCCAGCAGATTAGGTGTGCCCAGAATTGCTGTATTGAGCCTGCAGCCCCCAGCTGATTGTGAATGTACTTCCTATGCAGCAGCTTCTTTGTCTCTTTATGTTCTATCTCTCTTGGCCTCTGCACCTCACTCCTGCGCAAAGCCTCCTACTTGTGATGAATTGCTGCTGCTGCTCTCCCCATCTCTGCTATTTCTGCTCCTTTGGGAGAGATTAGGAGGTTAATTTATGTGAGTCCCTTGCAGTTTCCAAGATATTGTAAATTCCTGGACATTTTATGTCACAATCCTGTATTTATGCTTCCATAATTTAAAAAAATACTCTTGCTCTGTTTCCGTTTGATTTTGTATCTGGAGTTGGGGTTGACTTGACTGTCACTTTAATGGTATGTGTCTTTATGGGGCTGCCTTTAAGAGGGCTGTGCATGTATTTGTGCTCGCAGCACACATCTGTCAGGAGGGAAACTATTTCCTGGTTACTCTGCAAACTAGCATTTTGTGTGCTGCTTTTTTGTTGCTGTTGAAACTTGCATGGGTGGTGCATGGGATTAAAATCATAACTGAGCTTCCTTAAAGCACATAAAGGAGTCCCCAAGCTGCTCTTTGCAGGACTCCTCAAATGCTTTTGGCTGTTGAGCAGAGTGCCTTCAGAAGCATCCACCACAGTGTGGTGCAGAGCTTTCCATGGCTCCCAGAGTCCCTCCATGAGAGCCATCTTCAGAAGACATGTACTTCTCCTTGAGAACTGGGAGTCAGCAGAGTCATAAATACCAAACTCCAAGTGCAGCACTGCTAACAGCAGAGCAGGCTTCTGCACAACTGGTTTTGCTGTTTCAGTTAAAGTATTACAATTTTGTGTCTTTCTGGGGTTAAATATAGGGGAAGGGACCTGTGTTGACTGCTGGATTGAATGTTGAGTATCCTGGTGGATAGTATATTTCCCAGGTCCTTTACTGGAGCATCTCTCCTATGCAGACAAGCTGAAAGTTGTGTTTCTCCATCCTGGAGAAGAAAAAGCTCTGGGGAGACCGTAGAGCAGCTCCAGTGTCTAAAGGGGCTACGAGAAACCTGGAGAGGGGCTTTGGACAAGGGCCTGTAGGGACAGGAGAAGGTGAATGGCTTTAACCTTACAGAGGGGAGATTGAGATGAGCTCTTAGGCAGAAGTTCTTCCCTGTGAGGGTGCTGAGGAGCTGGCACAGGGTGCCCAGAGAAGCTGTGGCTGCCCCATCCCTGGCAGTGTTCAAGGCCAGGTTGGACACAGGGGCTTGGAGCAACCTGCACTAGTGGAAGGTGTCCCTGCCCATGGCAGGGGGTTGGAACTGGATGAGTTTTAAGGTCCTTTCCAACCAAACCCAATCTGTGATTCTGTACTAAATAGGTGACACAACTGTGCATGTCTTATGGATATATGTTTTAACGATGTTGGGATGCTCCCATGAGCAGCTCTGAGGTGTGGAGGCAGAAAAGTGGGGTAGCACAAAAGGAAGGAAAAGAGAGGGTGTCTTGTGTGGGGAGGGTAGGGTCAAATGTGGGGATCATGAAGGGGGCTGATGCAAAGTTACTAGGAAAAGTTGGAAGTATGTGGAGGGGATGTTCTGTAATATAGAGGCTGCTCTGTCTGCATGGGATGCAGCCTTAAATGATATAAATTAACACATCTGCACTGACTTCAGTAACTCTAGACCAGCTGGAGATATGGCCCGGCATGTGCTCAAGTTCAAAGCCTTTGCTGTTTCTCATTTAATTTCCTTTCATTCCAACAAATCTGTGAGTATCAGGCAACTTACAGCTTTTCTGGCAGCAATGCCGTGTTAATTGTTTGCAGCAAATGGGAAGGTGTGAACCAGGCTCCACATTGCTTGTATGTATGCCTGTGTGAGGCAGCTGTACTGAGCAAGTGTCCTGGTGAGACTGGTGTAGGTATGGCTTTGCAGGGTGATCTTAGTCTTCACTATGAAGGGAAAGGCACCTCCATCCTTGCAGCTCATCTGTACATTGACTGATGTTGTACTCCTGTTGCTACAAAATCTCTGGTATTTTCACTGAAGTTCATTACCAGTAAGCAAGGCCCAGCTCTTCTGTCAGCAGAAACAGAGCTGCTTTTCCCAGCAAGACAAGCCTTTGACTCACTCATCCTCTGGTGGGACAACCTTCTAAAAACGGTGTTAGTAACCTGAGTCTTAACATCTGTTCTGATCCTCCTATGTGTATTCTCAACGTCTTTATTCCTGTTTTTCCCTGTTTTCTGGCTTGGCTGTGTTCTGTTATTGTGTTGTGGGTTAGAAAAACTTCACTAGCTGTGAGGATTCACACAGTGAGAGATCTTGAAATACCTGGCATGGGCTCTGTCTTGTTCTGAGATCTGTGGTTTTCCAGTCACACACACACGTGAAGGCTGAGCTGTCAGGTCAGCAGTGTCATAAGCTGCAGAAGGTGAGATGCTTTATCTTGGAGGAGTGGGATGTATGGAGAGGACAACAATGTCAAGGCTGAGAGGTCCTGTTCACACGTGCTCTGCCTAGGTCTGAGGGCTCTCCTGTGGCTCTGGGTCAATAACCAATGTGATGTGATCTCTGCAGGCGTGTGCTCACCGCTGGAAGAACATCTACTACGAGACAGAGTACATCCTGCCCCATGGCTTCTGCAACATCATTCCCCCCAACCTGCAGCCCAATGGGAGGAGGCTGTTTCCCTGCTATGAAGGTAAGGAGTGTGGGAATCAGGAATGGGGCTTACCTCTTACCTCCCTTGCTGCAGTCTCATTTTACAGCTGCTGTGCTTTCCCTTCATTTCCAAAACCATCCACAATAAATCATCCACAAATAAATCACCCCAAATCATCCACAAACCACCCTCACTACCAATAATACTCATTATTTTGGTAACATATGGCTGTCTTGTGGCACAGCTGGGGTAATGGTAGGCTTTTGAATGAAGTTGGGTCCTGTGACTTATGGTGTGACTGCAAAGTCACACACTTTACTGGAGGAATAATATGTTTTTGAGCTGGTTTTGGCACAAAAGCTCTCTCTTCCCTTACGTGAATGATCAGGAGATATTGACCTGGGTTGGCATCTCATGCTTTGCTTTGACACACGGTAAAAATCCTGCGTTACGTTGCAGTCAGTAACCAATTTGCCCACCTTATGAGAACACTTTCGGTTTTGTGTTGTGATTTATCAGAGGACTGGAGGGGGAAACAAGGGTTGCTTAACACCTTGCTCACTTTGGAGAACTTCTGCAGCAGTTTATATTAAACTGCTATTGTGTTTCGGGTGCCATAAGGTGTCTTGGTTCTTGTTCAGATCCTCTGAATGTCTGGGTTTGGGGTGCATGGAAAGGGAGGACTCTGGCTCTGAGCAGGGGTGACTGTGCCTGTTGGTTCTACTCCAAATCCAAGTGTCAGCATTTTAATTTTCCAGCTTTCTGGTGCATGTGAGACTCTTGTCATGTTTCCTTTCCTTAAGACTTAAGAAGACAGCATCTCCTCTGCCAAGAGCAATCAACTAAAGCAGGGGCATGAGTGTGTTGTCAGGAAGAAGGCAGGGTATCTCCTAAGATTCCTTGGCTTTCAGAGAAGCATCTGGGGGAAAGCACGTCCTTGGTTTCTCCTATGTCCTGGGCATTGTCTTTCCACTCTTGCCTGTAGGAGCCTGAGGAAGTGTGGACGTTTGGAGGCCAAGACACAGCAGGGTTTATTGTGGGCGAAACCTCTGATTGTATTGATTTATTTATTCACTTTTATTAATTCCCCCCACCCCATCCCCATCCAAAATTGTCGGCAGCCAAGAGCAGGCTTGCTGCTGACATTAATAAGTGGGAGAGGGATAAGGATGTCCCAGCAAGTTTCTCTGCTGCTGGTGAGCAGTCATGTCCCAGTGCAGAACTGGGTCTGCTCCATACCCCCTTTTTCTCCTGAGCTGGCTGCTCCAGGCTTTACCCTGGGACTTGCTACAACAAGCCCTCACAGCTCCTGGAGGTGGCACACAGCTTCAGGGCTGCACGTTTCCCAGCCCTGAAATCAGTCATTATTTGTAACATAAGGGATTTTGTATCTCACCTGCGGCAGAATACTTTATGGTCAACACACACGCCCGAGGATGGTGCTTGGGGCTCTCTCTGAGCCTGTGCCACTGCTCTTGCACCACCTTAAAAGCATCTCGCCTGAGGCTGCGGCCGGAGGTGGTTTCTGGAAGAGATGAACCGCTTGTGTTTTAGAGTGCGTCATGTCTTCAGAGTAAAAGTGCTGCTAATCTGACAGGATATTTGCCAGGAATTGCTAGAAAATAGAAATGTGTGGGCCCAGAACACGCAGAGCAGCCAGTGGAAAGTTGGCAGTGCTGGTGCAGTGCGATGTTGGCTTAATTTCACTCCATGCTAGAGTGAAAGTGGGAGGTTTGGGACTGATTGTCTGCCCCCCCCCATCAGACATGAAATCACAAAGTATCACGAGGGGTGGCTGCATTTGTTTACTCCTGTTTCTTTTAGGTTTCAGTAACACAAGCCCAAAGAGAGAGAAAACCGTGCTGTGTCACGCAGAGGGATTCTTTGAGGCTTGCTGTGGAATAAGCTTGCAGTCATCCTTGTAACTGTTTTCCTTCACAGCTAAGGTGATAAGCCCTGTGAGAGGCTGGTGTAACTGCTGGTCCACATGATCCACAGCCAGAGCTGGCTCTCCATACTGGTGAAGGGTGCAGGCCAGTTGAGCGCACATCAGTCTTCATCCATCTCTGTGTATGTGTGTGCACCTTGGGGTGGGTTTATTCGTTTATATAACAGCAGTGTTCTGCCAGCAAGGGAGAGGAGTCTGACTTTGGGGCAGACGTACTTAATGCACACAGTATGTTTTCTCTACACATAAAGCAGGCTTAATAATTAAAAGGCGAAGGAGGAAATGGAAATTTCCTGACTGGATGGTAGTGGTGCAACAACATAGTCTCAATCCATCTTATTCTTGTCCAGCTTCCCTAAAAGGGCTGACAGAAGTCTGGAAGCAGCTGAGAGCTAATGAGAACAGCAGCAAGCCTAATACTTTAACACAATCTCTCTGAGTAGGAACTAATCTGGTTTATACGATCTGGATGACCTTTGTGGTATAGCTGGCATATGGAGCCAGAGTCTTCCAGGCTGTGCTTTCACTTGGTTATTTTTCCTGTAGTTTTAATGGCCTTCCAAAATAAAAGGGAGCTGCCTCTTCATTCACTTGTTGTATTCTGTTTGCAAAGAAGGGTGGGTGCATCTACTGTGAGAAACAGCCCAGCTGATGAGGAGAGCTGGGATGCTTTCCTCCTCCTCTGTGGTAGAAGTTGGTGGTGAAGGTGGGGAAGACTGATGGACCCATTGGTTAGTAAATAAGTGGAACAGCACATACTCGCATGCCTTGCTTCCAAAGGGACAAAGCGAGTTTTCCCATGGTGTCCAGACCACATTTGGTTTTATGGGAGCCATCAAAACATCCCTGCTTTGTGGTGCAAACCCAATACCACAGTGCTAGGTCAGAAAGATTATGACTGTTTCTTCCTAGAGTAGTGAAACACTGTAAGATAGGAAGGAAGAGGCTTCCAGTGCAGATGACAGTTTACTGTAACTGTCCAATTTTGCTTCCCTCTGTGAAGATGGTAGATGCAGGGTTTTATTGCGCTCTGGAGCTTATGCTATGTTATGTCATTGAAGTTTGCTTAGAGAGTTTGAGAGGTTTGCTCAGAGAAGTTGTTGAGGAGCATTTGCCTCAAGAATCATCACACATCACAGCTTATCCTTTTTGTTTTGTATATTGTTTTATCCAATTACTTCTTCCTCAGCCTCCCTTCTCTTATAACCCGAGATCATCATGGCTGCAAACCGCTAACATCTTTTTCCTCTCTTTCTTGCTTTCTGTGTTTATTCATGGCACATCTTCAAAGTCAAGGAGGCAACCACCTCTTCCAGACTCAGCCTCATCTTACTGCTTTGCTATCGGCTGTCGCCACAGCAGTTAGTTTAGTGGCTTGCGGTCTGTGTAATTGGGGATGCGCAGCAGTCTGCAGCAGACAAGGAACAACAGTAAAGGAGTGTAGAAACAAAGGCTCTGTTCATGACAGCGGTTATTGCCTGGGGCTATGCAGAAACGACAGAATCCGCTGCACGCAATATCTAAACCTCATGCAAATGTTGCTAGTCAGGTGTGCAAAAGCTGTGAGCTGGCACAGTAATTGCACAACATCCTGTTGGTTGATCATTGATGGATGGATGACAGTGTTGTTTAAGTGGTGGATGTCACTGCTGTGCATCAAAGTGGAGGGGAAGTAGAAGCAGTCTTGGTTTGTATGCCTTTTGAGCTCATCTGCTGCTTGGGAGAGGCAGACCAGCTCTAGGGAGGGGCAGAAGTGTGATGCTGGGATGTGACCATCCACAATGGTGGCTGCTCTGGGCTGTGATCATGGATGCATGGGTGACAAGGAGCCCTGCTTGGGTTAGGAGCAAGGGGTACATTGCTGCAGGTGGAAGTCAGGTGGGCTGACAAGGAGGGGTGCTTTAGTGCTGAAAGGATTATGCTGGAATCCAGGAGCCCTGTGTCTGTCTGGACTGAGCTGCTGGCACCATAGGGAGGAATGTGTCTGTTTGGTTCCCCCCACCAAAATGTGGTGCTGATACCTGCTCTGTGCCAATGGAGCTTTAAATCCTCAAATAGCCTCAGTGTCTAGGGTGTTTGGGACTCTGTGCTTCTGTTTTGTCTTGCAAAATGCCACTAAAGCTGGTTTTCTTTTTTTCTCAGAGGTGTTAGGAAAAGAGGTTAATCAGTTTATGTGGAGTTCTCAGACCCCATCATGGTGGGATGGGTCTTGATACTTGTGGGGAAGAAGGATGGTCATTGTTTTGTGTTGTTGCTGTGTGTCATGCTGAGCCACTGTAGAGAATTCATTTCTTCTTCTTCCGCAAGATCTGTTTATTTTTCGTGAGAAATATTGCCACATATTTATTCAAGTCAAAAAGTTTCGATGACTTTCCTTCAGTTCAGAGAAGCACTGATTATATCTGGACTTTGCATTTACTTGAAATGCTGCAATCCCATTTGTCTGCTGCTACAACCAAAGCACAACTGGTTATTTAAGTGAAATGTAGGGCCATTAGTTTGAGCACATAGCAGTGGCAATGTAAGTGACTCAAAACCCACCAAACATCATATAAAGCTATGAACACTGTCAGTCAAAGTATGAGCTGCAGTGGACATGCCAACTCAGTTTATAGAATCATAGAATAGTGAGGGTTGGAAAGGACCTTAAGATCACCCAGTTCAAACCCCCCTGCCATGGGCAGGGACACCTCGCTCTAAACCATATCACCCAAGGCTTCGTCCAACCTGGTCTTGATCACCGCCAGGGATGGAGCATTTACAACCTCCTTGGGCAGCCCATTCTAGTGCTTCCCCATCCTTACAGGAAAGAATTTCCTCCTTATATCCAATCTAAACTTCCCCTGTTTAAGTTTTAACCCGTTACCCCTTGTCCTATCACTACAGTCCCTAATGAAGAGTCCCTCTCCAGCACCCCTTCCGATACTGGAAGACTGCTATGAGGTCTCCACACAGCCTTCTCTTCTCCAGGCTGAACAGCCCCAACTTTCTCAGCCTGTCTTCATATGGGAGGTGCTCCAGTCCCCTGATCATTCTCGTGGCCCTCCTCTGGACTTGTTCCAACAGATCCATGTCCTTTTTATGTTAAGGACACCAGAACTGTACACAATACTCCAGGTGAGGTCTCACAAGAGCAGAATAAAGGGGCAAGATCACCTCCTTCGACCTGCTGGTCACGCTCCTTTTGATGCAGCCCAGGATACGGTTGGCTTTCTGGGCTGCAAGCGCACACTGCTGGCTCATGTTCATTTTCTCATCACCAGCACCCCCAAGTCCTTCTCCGCAGGGCTGCTCTGAATCTCTTCTCTGCCCTGTCTGTAGCTGTGCCTGGGATTCCTCCAACCCAGGTGTAGGACCTTGCACTTGGCATGGTTAAACTTCATGAGGTTGGCATCAGCCCACCTCACAAGCCTGTCAAGGTCCCTCTGGATGGCATTCCTTCCCTCCAGCGTACCAACTGAACCACACAGCTTGGTGTCATCGGCAGACTTGCTGAGGGCGCACTCAATCCCACTGTCCATGTCAGCGATGAAGATGTTAAACAAGACCGGTCCCAACACTGATCCCTGAGGGACACCACTCGTAACTGGTCTCCAGCTGGACATTGAGCCATTGACCAGAACTCTTTGCATGAGGCCATCCAGCCAGTTCTTTATCCACCGAGTGGTCCATCCATCAAATTGATGTCTCTCCAATTTAGAGACAAGAATGTCGTGTGGGACAGTGTCAAATGCTTTACACAAGTCCAGGTAGATGACATCAGCTGCTTTACCACTGTCCATCAGTTCTGTAGCCCCATCATAGAAGGCCACCATATTGGTCAGGCAGGATTTCCCCTTAGTGAAGCCATGCTGGCTGTCACCAAGCACCTTGTTGGTTTTCATGTGCCTTAGCATGCTTATGTTACAATATACATTTAAACCACCAAATCTTTCCTATTTCTTATGCATTGCAGTTAATAATTTGGTTCATCTGAAGAGTAATTGCTTTTTTTCATTGCCCTGACAATGAAAACAAAAATGTATATGTTTCTTTTCTAATACATATATTGCTGATGAATATCAGCTGTGTTGTGCTCTGATGTTGGGATTTTTGGTTCAGGTTACTTGTCAATCTGAATTGGTCTCCCTGTTTTTTTGGTTTTACAGGAGGCAAAATTTGTACTATAATAAAACATGCAGTGAATTCAATAACTTGTCTGGAGAAGTGGTTTCATTTTTGTGCATGTGTTGTTTTATCAGAAGAAAATCCTGTGTTTATCCTAAGAAATGAAGCAATTTTGTATGTTTGAACGCACGCACATGAAGCTACAGATCCATCTACCACTGTTCTGTGACTACCTTGTATTGCTGAAACAGCTGCCATTCCTTCTGCTGTCCGATGGCTTTGCATGCCTTTGGTTTTTCTTTGCAGCCAAATTCAGGGGTGAGCTTAAGTGATCACTTGCACCCGCATGCCTATGTGGATGGGGCCTCTCAGGTGGCTGAAGTTAGGTGGGCAGATGGTTTGGAGACATTCAAGCTGGGAAATCGTAGAACAATAGAATAGTTTGGGTTGGACAGGACCTTCAAAGCTCATCTAGTCCAACCCCTCTGAGTAGCAACGTCTACAGCTAGATGAAGTTGCCTAGAACCATATCCAGCCTGGCACTGAATGCCTCCAGGGATGGCACATCCATCACCTCTCTGTGCAACCTGTGCCACTGTTTTACCACCCTCATTGTACACAGTTTATTTCCTCTCATCCAGCCTGAATCTCCCCTCTCTTAGTTTAAAAGCTGATATCATGTTTGACCCTTTTACATGTTGCTGAAAGATCCAGATCTTTTGTTGTGCAAGTTAAATATCCTATGGCAATTTTTCATTATAAAGCAAATTGAGCCATCTGTTTTTTTTGAAGGGGTTTCTTAAAGAAACCATGACCTAAATGTAATACAATTTTATAGGGAAATACAACATTTTAAATCCATCAAATTGTCAGCGAGGCACACTTGCCGTGGGTGGTTATGGGCCTGACACAATGAGCCATCGAGGCTTGCTCTCCAAAGAAGTGGGTGTGTAAGAAGTCTTCTCTCCTTATGTCCCTTGGGTGGTTTTCAGGCTCCCTGTTCATCAGCCTGAGCCCCTTTAGTATATCCTGCGAAGTGGGATTTAAGAAGGAAGTCTTTAAAGCCTTGAGCTGTGTCATTACAAAAACCTCCTGCCTATTTTAGCAGGTAAGGCAGAAGGATGCTTCAAGACCTCCATGGGACTAGTGGCATTTTGCTTTGAATTACAGTAAGGTCAAGAGCACGACTGTGAATAAGCAAGGTCTGTCCACGCTTCAGAACATTGTGTAAAGGAAAATCCTTGGCTTGAAGTGAAAGCACGTGAATGGGATGGATATGGAAGTCGGGGCATTTTGTCCTGTGCAAGGGTGGGAATCCAGCTAGAGCGAAGGCAATGCCTTCAGGATGTGCATGGCATTATTTTGCAGGAAATGCCAGAGGGAGAAACCTCATCTCCTCATCTCCCTGCATGAAAAGCGTTCGTATCAATAAACAAATACTTTTTTCCCAGGTGAGGAGTGCCTGGCTCTGTGAGAGACTGTACATGGAGAGCTGGCAATTCAGAGCCCCAGCACTTTCTGAGTAGCTGTGAGCAAATATAGGCTTCATTTCTCACTGGAACTGTTGTGCATTCCCACGAGGAATGTCAAGTGTGCTTCTGGCCCTCCTGGTCTGCTGGGACACGCATCTGCTTTGGCAGGAGCCTGCCTCAGCCAAGGGCGTCAGGCATTCGGGCTGTAACTTGTGGATCAAGTCACTGTTGTGTGTGGTCTCTCCAATTAAACCTCTCCCTGTCCAACTGGTATGACCTCAGCAAATTCCTTAAAATCTGAGCATCTTTATGATGGTAGGAAGAGACTATATATAATATATAAAGGGGGAATGGGGTGTGTGTGTTTATGTGTAACATATCTGTGCTAAGGCAGCAGTTTATGATTGATTCCTTTTGATCTTCAATAAAGTGCAGCTGAAAAAGAACTTGCTTGGTTCCAAATAGGTAATTTGCTCATTGATTTCATTAGATTTTCTTTAGCATTTAGCAATGAGTTAATGGTGCTTACTTAACAGAAAATAAATAAAATCCACAATTACCAGGCTATATGGTGGATGGTTTTGGAATGGATGCAATATATAGGAAGTAGCAATGTGCTGAGGCTTGGCACTCATTAGTATGGTAAATATGTGGAAATAATGCTCTGGGGAAAAAAAAAAAACCTGTGAAAGTTCTGATCTGGCTGGAAGTTTCAAATGTTCCTAAATGGAAAATGTTTGGATTAAAGGCAGGCGGAAAATGATTCCCCCACCATGGATTTCTATAAATTTTTTTTTTAATCTCTTCTGCAAAAAGAAAATTCCTCAGGTTTGAAACATTTGCTACATAAAATACAGAAACAGAAACTATGCTGATTGGGTCCCCTGGGAGCTGGGAGCTCTGAGCAGATGGCCCTGAAAAGCAGCAGACCCCAGCAACCCTCAGATAAGTCTGTTGTCTGGGTCAGTAGCACACAGGCATGTGCATCTCCTTTTATTCCTCCCTTCCCAGCTGTGCTCATCTGGTTACCAGAGGCACCTTTACTGGGGTGATGCTGCATCTATCATACTGCTCTGATACTGCTTATTTAGTGTCTCCCTGTCTGTGCCCCCAGTTTCAGGCCCCTTGGTTTGCCCTGTTCTGTGGGTGAGGATGCTGCCATGGTGCACACTGGTGGCAGATCCATTGGTAAAACGCAGGAGCCTTGCGTGCTGGTGTCTCCCCAGGCTGTGCACTTAGCGATTCAGACTGCTTGGGTGGAGAATGTGTGCTGTGCTGGGGATGACCATGGTTTATTTCTTCCCTTCTTCATCCAGAGTACAAGAAGAAGTACGGGGAGGAGCACGGCTCATGCCAGGCAGGGATTGCAGGCTTCTTCACAGAGGTGAGCAGGGGTGAATGCATGGAAGGGATGGGGTTGGTGAGTAGCTCTTCTGCTGCATGATCCAGGAGGGCAGCTCCAGGCATGGCTTGGACAGAGGGCTGAGCGCTGAGCATAATCCCTTCCAGCCAGCACTCTCCTGCATCATCCAGCCTCCCAGGTACCTGCATCTTGCACCGTGCTTGCCCAGTGGCTCAGACATAGGTCTATTGGGGATTCAAGGTCTGCGGACCAAAGTGAATTAATTGATGCTGAGAAATGTCTTCAGGGAATATTTTTGTTGGGTACATCCCAAAGCTTGCATAGAGATATTTCTGTGCCTAATATTAACTGTTTAAATGATGATGTAAACCAGTTCTCCTTACATGGCTTTGTTGGTGTGTGTGGGTATATGTATCTATATATATGTGCTTACATATACATTCATAAGATAAGCTTTTTTTCCCCCCACTTCTGCTTCAGTTCTTTATTGCAAAAAGGTGGAGAAGAATTAAAATGGTAAAATATATGCTCCAGAGCTGTTCTAGATAGTGGACCATAAACTACTGTCCAGGAAAGTATATCAGCAATGTTTTAGTTGTGTCAAGGGTGCATTTGTTCCCTTATGTATGTATTGATGTCTTTTTGTAATGTTTTAGGGTTGGGGTTTTATTTTTGTGTTTTGTTGCTGTCTTGTCAAGTATATACCTACCCCTTCTTATATATGTACAGGTCTGCAGAACTCATTGTCCAGGCTGATACAAGCAGAATACAAGTGTGCTCTCTGAAATGGCAGAAAGTGATTTCCAAGTAAAGTGGGATGGCAGGCAGTGTTGCCAGAGTGGCCCTGTCTGATAACTGGATACTGAGACAGCAGCAGCTGTTTCCTGGCTTGTCTGCTCTTTCCAGCCTGTTTCTGTTCCCATGCTTTAAATCCTCCTTTGCTACCCTGGTTCAAAAGATATCTTTGACCTTTCATGGCTTCAACCTAATGGCAGCTCACTGGGCAGGAAATGCAGATAAATGGCTTTTTGGGTCAAGCAGGCAAGCCCCTACCGTATATTCAGCACTGCTGATGGTAGTTGTTCCTGCTGGCAAATGATCCCTTGACCTCGAGGGCACGGCCCCTCCCAAGTTAGAAAGCTGTTGCCAAGCACATTCTGCTCCTGGGTTGGGTTTTCAGTCCTGTCCTTATTATTCCTAATAATAGTCTTATTAGGAAAATCCCTCATTTAACACCTCCCCCTGACTGGAACTGGTCGCCCAAAGGGATCCCAACCATGGGAACATTTTCCCACAAGGATGGAGTCCACTCATGGCCTTGCATTGAATAGAGATGTGAGGCAAAGCAGCTGTCCTCATGTCTCCTCCAGGGGTGGAGAACTTACCTAGGCTTAATGCTCCCCAGGCTTAATTTGCTCCCTTGCTGAAGGTAATTAAAACCACATCTAGGAGTACAGTTTTCCTGCAAGGATGCTGGATGCTTTGGGGCAACGTTTTCTCAATCTTGCATGTAAGTGTACCTTGAGTTTTGCTTCAAAAGCATTACTCGTGAGCATTTCGCTTTGGATACTGGGTCAAGCTTTGCCAGATTTCCAGTCTTTTGAAATCCTGAATCAGGCTGGGTGATCCTAATGAACTATAGCCAGGTTGTCTCTTGAAAAGCGGAGCATATCTAATGACAGAGCAAGGCAAAATGTACCAGCCATCACGTAAGAGACACCCTGTTCATTGAGTGCATGGCAGGCCTTTAGCTTCACAGTTGTAAAATCAAAATCCTGTGTGCTACATCCTTCATGACTGGTTAGTGTAGCTTGTCAGCCAGCATCAGGGCATGGTCTATAGCTGAATGGTGGCTCTGGGTGGGCTAGGGCACTTCTGTCTCGTGGTGAGAGTCTTCAGGTCTTCTGGAGAATGGTTGGGAAAGGCAGCAGGTGGAGAGAGATTTTTGGGAGGACTGTGTTATCAGGGATGAGTTTGATGGTTGGTAAGGCTGAGAAAGGCCTACTGAAGCGGCAGGGCAGCTGAGCATAAGTGGACCATAAAAGGGGAGACCATGTGTCTCTAGGGTGTGTGCTGTGACCTCTGTGTTTGGAAAGGATACACACAGAATGGAGATCGTTATAGATGGTCCTGCAATTGGTGTTTTAAGTTAATATCCCATCCCTTCTCCATTACTGTGTAAAACATGAAATTTTGTCCAGTTTTGACCATTAAGTATGTATTTCCCTATCGTTTCCCCCACACCTTTCTGTTTTTCCTGTTGTAGGAGCTGGTCATCATGGGTGCACCGGGATCTTATTATTGGACAGGAACTGTCAAAGTACTGAATCTCACTGACAACACATATTACAAGCTAAACGACGATGCCATGATAGGCAGGCGGTACACATACCTCGGTAAGCAGCTCTCTGGTGCTCACTGTGAGAATGGCTCAGTCAAACAACAGATTTCAGGGCTTTGTTGCTGTAAAGTGGATACTAAAAGTGCGTTTCAACTGAAAAGCAACTTGGGTCGTAGTAGGCCTCCTACATTCCTGCCTTTGCCCTGTGATGGACAAATTGTCAGTGGTTAGGCTGTGTCTGCTTACACCAGACTTTAAAATGGGTACAAGACACAGTTACAGAATGTATGTTGCAGATACAAATTTATTTCAACATAAATAGCACCACAGAAGTGAGTCATTGGCAACAGAAGATTGTGAAAAGATTGGCTATAGATTTGAGTACATCTTTAACTTGCTTGGTTTTTCTTGCTCTAAAATCAGCTGATGTCCTAAAGCATTTCATTTAAAAGCTTCCACTTAATCCCCAGTGACTAAGACTCTTGAGACCTAGAAAGCTTTTCCAGCAGTCAGTAGTTTGCTGTTGTTTGACTGAAGACTCACTCTGACCTCTCATTTTCCCATTAACCTTTAGTCTTTAAAAAAAAATACCACTTGGAAGATACTGTTTGGTGATAGCTAAATGGGAGTATATATATACATATCTGAGGACATAAATAGGTTTTGCCACTGATAGATCTGAATTATAGTGTTACCATGTAGACAAGGGCCTCATAATTTACAGGAGATGAGCAAGGCAAGTACAAGACAGCCTTAGAAGGAAAGTGCTTTACCCATCTTTAGTTATTATAGATCATTTTAATATATCAAATAAGACCGAATCTTTGATCTGCTTCTTTCAAATGCACTCTTTTTTTCTTTGATCTATCCTCCCATTTTTCTTCTTACCTAAACAAAAATCTCTTTAAGCCATTAACATCTCTGACCTCTTTGCCCACTGTCCTTCGCTCGCCTCCCCCGACCAAAAAAGCATGTAATTTTCCAAGCCTTCCTGAGCAGTGATTTTACCCAAAGGAGGACACTTCTGTACGATCAATGTGAGACTGTTGCTCTTTGATGTGATACTTTCTCTGTACTGATGTGGTTTCTTTGCTGTGTTTGTGCCTGTTCCAGTCTTATTGCTTCCTTTTCTGGACTCACAGTTACCAAACTGTTCCCTGTACCTGCATCGTGTGTCCCTCACCCAGCTCCAAACACCCCTTTCTTCTCTAAGCTTTCAGAAGGGTACTGGGGGACGTACTGTCACTTCATACAACTCTCTACAACTGCCTGGCAGGAGGATGGAGCCAGGAGGGGGCTGCTCTCTGCTCCCAAGTAACAAGTGGTAATACAAGAGGAAACAGCCTCAAGCTGCAGCAGGGGAGGTTTAGACCGGATATTGGGAACAATGTCTTCTCTGAAAGGGTGCTCAGGCATTGGAACAGGCTGCCCAGGGCAGTGGTGGAGTCACTGTCCCTGCAAGTGTTCACACACCGTGTAGATGGGGCCCTCAGTGACGCGGGTTAGTGGTGGCCTTGGCAGTGCTGGGGAATGGTTGGACTTGATAGTCGTAAAGGTGTTTTCCAACCTCATTGATTCTATGATTCCCACTGCTGTGAGCTTTTGAGCAGAATATTGTCACATCCTGAGCAGAATGTTGTTGAACGCTAACGGTGTGCAGCCCAGGAGGAGCGGTGATCCAGATGGCTGACCTGTTTGTCAGGCTCTTCTCTTTCATGGTTATTTACTTATTTATCTTGTCCCTCCTTTCCCACCCCATCTCCTCTCTCAGGATATGCAGTGACAGCAGGTCATTTCTCCCAGCCGACTAGCACGGACGTTGTAGGAGGAGCTCCCCAGGATGGAGGCATCGGAAAGGTGCGGCTTTTTCTCAAACACTAATGTGGTCAGATGCAATGGGATAAAACCAGCAGTTTTGGTGCAGTTCCAACATGTCTCAGAATTCAGGAGATTTTTGCATAGTTTTGGAGCACCAAGCAGAGAAGAGGTGAGGTGGTTTGATGAAGTCATCAACCCTCTCTTCCCTCTTTCTCCCACCCAGTCCTTACAGTAGTTACTTATAACAAGGCACAGGAAACATTTCTTTCACACTGCTGTTGTTTAGGATTTTTAATGTATAGGTATCACTTAAACCTTGCCTGGAAATGAAAAAAACTTGGAAAAAAGAGTTTGTCTTCTGCTTGTTTTCTTCATACATTTGACTATTTCAGTACTTACTTCAGGGTAGCATCTCTAAGTAGCATGAAAAGCCATTTTCCAGGTGATTTTTTCTCCCTCTTAAAACTTCATAATACATTGAAGTTTAGTGGATTAGAATCTGGGTTTCTGCCAGCTGTGGTTCTAAATCTTGGTGATTGATATTCTCTTGAGAAGGGAAAAAAAACCATGGTTTTCCTGTAGGCAGATATATGTGCTATGTCCCAAAGACATAAGCAAGTGAATGGCTAGACTGAAATGGCTGGTGAGTTAGGTGTGCCTGGTGTTGCTGTGATGAGTAGTCAGCTGCTATCAGGGGAGCCAGCGAGGGTGAGCACTGTGACCCTTATACACCTCTGAAACAAAGGTGGGAAGAGGGATAAAAGAGATATAAAGGATCTGCTTTTGTTCCTTTCTTCAAAATCCAAACCTCTGGGGACCTGCTGTCATCATGTGCTTGAACAGAGATGGTCCTGCAGCCGCCTTCTATCTTTATCCTTCTGGCTCTTTTCTAGAGGGACATGAATTGGTGTGGAGTGTCTCCACTACCATGAGGAGTGAGAGGTCTCCGCTACCATGAACACTATCCCTTGGTTTACAGGTTATTTCTAGTAGTAACTGTGTCCCAGAAGGTAGTAGCACAAGTGGAGAAAGCAGAGTAAAAGTAGAGGATGAACTTGGTACACTACCTGATCTGGCATGACTAGGATATATGGGATATAGTAGCAGTGCAGTTGCTACTGAGTGGACATGTACACAGGAAAGACATGGTTTCCTTATCGCAGGTGCTCTGTTATGACTGTTCCAACACACTTTCCTTCCAACCTGTTTCCTGGTGGAACAGATTTAATTTCTGGACAAGGAGGGAGAAAGAACCAGCTGCTAATGTGAGGTCCATGAGAAAGCACCTGCTCCTATAGTTTAAAAGACTGCTGCTCTGGTTGTAAAAGCTCCTGTTATCCTCCCTTACCATGGGATGTGAGTAGCAGGAAACGCATGGCAAAGGGACTGTAAGAGGTGTTGAGTACAGGACATTATGCTGAGCAGTCCTATTGTGCTTTCTTTGCTCTCTAATAAGCTAATCCTTTCCACTTCCCCGATAGAAAGTGATTAGCATTGTCATACCCTTTTCACTGAAGGTAAAGCCAAGATTCTTAATGAATGAATCATTTCTCCAAAGTAAGCAAGAGTGTCATTAGTTAAGGGTAGGTTTGGAGTTGTGACACCTGGCAACACGCTGCACTGCAAACACCCAGGGAGTCCTTTATATCTAGAGCAATTGTCTGCAGTAAATCTGTGTTGTGTTCTTGGCTGAGAACAGCTTTGAATTCAGTCTTGCCACTTATTAATAGCTTGCCACATAATCAACTGTGTCAAGGGCTTGGCTCTGCCACGTGGCCTTGGAAGTAAGGATCCTCTGTCCTGCAGACTGTGAGCACCTGCTAGGAGGGAGGCTGTCAAATGCAGGAGGAGTCTCAAAGGCTAACGGAGCCAGCCTTGCTGTCAAAGGAGCCCCTTTCTGCAAGCCATACATTTTAGGCCATAAATCTTGGTACAAGATCTGTTATAGAGCTCATATCAATATTTTTATCCCTGGGAGTTCCTGATTAAACAGTTTCTCCTGTGGAAACAAGTAATGAGTGAACTATGTTTTGAATAGTTTTCTGATTTACGGATTGTTTCAGACAGAAACAGTGCAAATGCCTTGGGTGGTCCGATGGGGATTTCTACTCTGACCTTTGCTAAAGCATTCTGAAGTCTGCAGTGCAGTACGTGCAGACATGTGTCCTTGAGAAAGGAAGGCTGGACAAGGGAAGGGAAGCAGGTTTTGCCTTCTCAGCCTTTTACCATTTCCAGGCTGCCTCCAGATGCCACTTGTTGGTAGTTGAAAAGTACCTTTACTACTTGCTTTTAAATACATAAATGCGCACCAGAAAATGCAGGTGACAAGATATTCAAGCATTTTTTACAGTAAGAGACCTGTGATGCATATTGAAAATGGGAACCTCTATGTTTTGTCTTTTGAAAGAAGACTGAGCATTAAAATGGTCATGACATTGGATCTTGGCAATAGCAATGGCCATGATAATGATTTAGATATTATTTAGGAAGCAACAATGCTGCACCATTATGTACGTCATAGTTAGTATTGGTTAACTTTTTTCTTCTTTCACTTCCCAGGTTTATATTTTCAGAACAGACAGACTATCAGGCTCTCTGGTGAAGATTTTTCAGGCTTCAGGAAAAAAGGTGAGCTTTTATGTATGTGTGTTTTCTTTTAAGAGGTAGAGAAGGGACAAATAATGGCAGGGTCATCTCAGCGTTGTTTTTATTCCACTGCTTCAAGAGTTGTCAAGCAAATGCTGTTTCTTCTTATCATCCCAGCAGAGCTAAACCTACCATGCAGATCAGTTGTATGCCCTTTCTCCTGTCACAGTCATAACTGCAATGCCTGCTCAATGCCCACATGGCTGATATCAAATGTCTTGATGAAAATTGTACTAGTGGTTCTGTTTAGCCTCGCGCAGCTGTGGCAGCACCTTCTGAGATGTGGGATGCTCAGTGAGCCTACACACAGAGATTTCCTTTTAGATGTTACTGGGAGATGTGGGTAGCCTGGAGCTTCGTGTGATACAAGAGCCCCAGTCTGTTTTCCTATGTGACCGGGGGGGTTATGCTGTTTTATGGAGGAGCAGCTTCATTACCTCAAGAGGTTGCAATTTCCCCCTTCTCACCATGAATCAGTTCTGCCTTTTGCTCTTGATGAGCTGCACTCACCATTAATTTTAGTGAATGCTAGTGAGATCCAGCCCCCCCTCCACATGCGGTGTTGTGTCTGAGGGGGCAAGAACTTGTGCTCTTCACTGGGAGCTTGCTGGAGATGTGTTGCAGGGGAAATGAAGTGGGCGGCATGTCTACGTATAGGTAACAATAAAAAGATTTGGGAATAACACTGTGAGGAGATGATACCCCTTACCTGGAGCTGCCTGTGTTCTCCTGGAAATACAGAAGAAAAAGGTTACTGGTGGCTTCTGGCTGTGGGAAGACCTGCCACTCTCAGACGGATATGAAGTGTTTAACTGTATCATCTGGAATATTGTGTCCAGTTCTGGGCCCCTCAGTTTAAGAAGGACAGGGACTTGCTGGAGAGAGTCCAGCGCAGGGCAACTAAGATGATTAAGGGAGTGGAGCATCTCCCTTATGAGGAAAGACTGAGGGAGCTGGGTCTCTATAGTTTGGAGAAGAGGAGATTGAGGGGTGACCTTATTAGTGTATATAAATATATAAAGGGGGAGTGTCACGAGGATGGAGCCAGGCTCTTCTCAGTGGCAAACAATGAAAGGACAAGGGGAAATGGGTACAAACTGGAACACAAGAGGTTCCACTTAAACCTGAGAAGAAACTTCTTCTCAGTGAGGGTGACAGAACACTGGAACAGGCTGCCCAGGGAGGTTGTGGAATCTCCTTCTTTGGAGACATTCAAAACCCGCCTGGACATGTTCCTGTGTAACCTTATCTAGGTGTTCCTGCTCCGGCAGGGGGATTGGACTAGATGATCTTTTGAGGTCCCTTCCAATCTCTAACATACTGTGATACTGTGACACTGTGATCATCAAATTGAGACTGTTAGCGTGTTTTGTTATTTTTTTCCCCACAAAACAGAGTCTCAAAACCCATGCCTGGAATGAAGAAAACTGCAAGGCTGTGCAGGGGGATGGTGTCACTTGTGTTTTAGGGCCTCTCCAAAATTTATCTTTCTCTGCATTAGCAGAATTGAAGGCATCTTGAAAGGAAAAGACCTCCCAGTTCATCCAAGGCATCTCCTGTGTGTGATTGCTTCCTGTTCATTTCTTTTTCTGTTGACTTTTAAATGTCCCTAAGGATATGCTCCTAGAGAACTATTCCTCAGCCTAACAAACAGAGCTATCAGGAAGTTTGCAGCTCTCAGCCAAAATCTTTCCTTTTTCATTCAATTGTGTAATATGTAAATTGAATAATCAAATGATGCATCCTTCAAATACTTGTAGGCTGTCATCTCCTCCTTCCCCCCAGCATCCGTCTTTTACAAATTCTCTACAATGCAAATGAGAATTTTATTTGAAAAAGAAGGCTGTCCTGAATCACCCTTCCTTTGTTTTGTAATTGAAATATAACCAGACATGCTCAGCAATGAGCCCTGCCTGGAAATAAGCTCCCACAAAGTGCTGCATCCTTCTCAGTGGTACGAAAGTTCATTGTTCTGGCATTCTTGTTCAACAGAAGTTTAAAGCAGGCCAGTGTCTTCCATCTCCTTTTTATTGCTGGAGGCTGAGCTAGGAAATCAAATACAGAGAAGAAAAAGGAGAACCCAGTGCCTTGTTATATATGTTATGTGAACAAACATCAGGTTCTCACAGCACCGTGCACTCACCCACACTGCAGGCATACCATGTTGCAGTCAAGTAAATAATAGCCTTTCCCTGCAAACTGCCTAAATACATAGTGAAATGCTTCTCATATCTTCTTCTCCTTACCCATGAGAAATCTGTTGTAAAACCTAAGTGGATTAAAAAAATAAACAAATAAAAAACCCACAAGGGAGCTTAAGCTACAAAATAACTGGCATCAAATGATGTTTGAGGTCTGACCTTAAACCCACACAAACACAGAAATCTGAATTACAAACTGAAACTCTATCCTCATCTCACCCCACTATATATATTTAGCAGCTTTTAAACCTTACGGACTTCATAGAACAGAGTCGCTGCTGCCCATCTCCTGCATGCCTGGTAGCTCTTGCTGGTGCATCTAAATTTATCAGGCGTAGAAGGCCTGAGATCCACAATGAGGAATGTAAAAGCACACAAGATATGTGATTCATTCTTTTTAACCTAAATAATGATTTCTGTAACCTCAATCTTTCCTACTGTGTAAACAGCTCTCAATTTCAAGTCAGAAGTAGTATATTTCCAATTTTCTTGGGAAGTTGCTTTTAATTTTGAGACTATGGTTTGTAGTTGGTCTCAAAGAGTATGCCTTGTGGTACCTTAGGAGAAGTGGATGAAGTAAGAATGGAATATCATTCTTGCTTTTGGTCTCACATTTAAATGTGTTTTGAAATTCATAATCATAGGATCCCAGACTGGTTTGGGTTGGGAGAGACCTTAAAGCTCATCCAGTTCCAATCCCCTGCCATGAGCAGGGACACCTTCCACTAGAGCAGGTTGCTCCAAGCCCCGTCCAGCCTGGCCTTGAACACTGCCAGGGATGGGGCAGCCACAGCTTCTCTGGGCACCCTGTGCCAGCGCCTCAGCACCCTCACAGGGAACAATTTCTGCCTAAGAGCTCATCTCAATCTCTCCTCTGGCAGGTTAAAGCCATTCCCTCACTGCATGCCCTTGCCATGTAGGTTTCTTGTAGACCCCTTTTAGGTATTGGAAGACTGTTATGAGGTCCCCCTGAGCTATTAAGGTCCCTCGGTTATAAGGTCTCACCCTGTAATGTGAGTGCTGGTTGAGAGATTGTTAGCATTTAATGTTAACATATTTCAAAAATTAAGTCATGAAATTAATGGAATTCTTAAAGTTAAGCAATTAAGTTTTATCAAGCAGTAATATCTGTAGATTGAAAGTGGCACTTAGGTTTTTTGTGTATCCACTAAAAAGCTTTTATTGAAAGTCTTTCTGTGTCAACTCACCTGCCTGTACATGAGAAGAAAGGCTACGATCAAACCCCACAACCAGTACTGCTATTTGCAGGTGACTGACACAAACAGGTACAAGTAGAGCAGGGGAAGCCAGACCACAATCAGGAAGTAATTTTAGATGCCCCTTTTCATAGATATCCTACCCCTAGCCTATTTTTCTTTTCTTTATTTCTTTAACACACCCCCAGAAGATCTGTGGTACACAGTTTCAAGTCTCTTTAGGAAATCTGTCACTGGGCATGAATAATCACTTGCCAGGCCTTGGTTTGGGAAACTTACTTCACCCCTTCCTGGTTTTAAGCATTTGGTAAGTGAAAGCTCATGTAAGAAAGCTCTTTAAGTGTCTCACTTAAGCATGTCCCAGGGTATGAAGGTATAAATTTAATTCTTTTGTTAAAACATCCAAGCTGATGCACTGTTACGGTAAAGTGTTTAGTTCCTGCCAGAATTATCCCCTAAGCTTTCTCTTTTGGAGTGCTTGTGAGTGATAAAGCAACAAGTCATCATTTGATATTAAAACAAGAAAACACGCCTAAATGATTTCCTCCTGTGTGTGGGCAGATACTGAATGCTTTGTTGTGACTCGGCTTGGTTACAGATGGGCTCTTACTTTGGCTCCTCCTTATGTGCAGTTGATCTGAACTCTGACGGGTTGTCAGACCTGCTGGTCGGAGCACCTATGTTTTCTGAGATCAGAGATGAAGGTCAAGTCACAGTCTATATCAACAGAGGAAACGTGAGTATGGACAGGAGAGGGCTTGCTAAGGGATGAGGGTGTGGGTGCGGGCAAGGTAACACTAGCATCCTTCCAGCACTCCATGGAGAAACTTGATGTCTTAAACAGTGGGGCTCTGGGTGTCTCTAGCAGAGCATGAAGTCACAGAAAACTCATCTGGTATCCTGGTTTCCCAGACACCAGCCTGCATTCATCACAGAGCTGTGAATCTTTCAAGGAGGTCTGGGGAAGTTTCTGGTTTTATGTTGAAACTTGGTGGTATTTGTGGCTTTACATGAATCTGATGCCAAAACCAAGTAGGAGTCAGCAGCTTTGACTGAGTTCCCTTTGTGTTTTGGGTGGTCACTAAGACCTACGAATTAGAACACAAATGTCTGAGGACCTAGGACACTTTGTGAAGAGAAACCAGTGGTTGAATTCCTGTTATCTTTATGTTATGCCTAATATAGAGACTTTAGGGGAAGCTCTTATCAGCTGGTACTATTGAATTTCACATAACTGAACAACAGCCTTGGAAAAACCTGAACTTTCTTGCATCATCAAAACAAGATCATTCTTATGTTGTATCTACAGGAAAACAGTGGTTGATTACGCATTATTAAATACTTAATATTCAGGTCCCAGTCCTGCTGTATCAAACCAGGAGCTGTTATGGACTAAAATGAAATCGGTTTGCCTCTCCAGTATTATGGGAACTTTAATGTATGACGTTTGTTTATGCTAGGACTACCATTCATCCCAAGTCCTATAGGCAGCATTTGGGAGACTTCAGTATCATTTCTGGTGTAATTTCATATTCTGTTATTACTCCTCTCTTAAATGAGCTTTACTTTTTCAGCTTGAGCCACAGGCTGTCCCAGCAGTGTTGCTGCTTGATCTCCAGGACAGGGTGTAGAATGCCAAGCAGATAATAGCCATCATTTCCTGCTTGCAGTGAAAATGTGCAGGAGTTCATTTTCTATCTTTTAAAAAGCAGTCAAGAAGCTAGCAGGAGTTTCTTATACTCCTATGGCACAAACTATGTGCAGGAGCAATAGCTTGCGGGATGGTGGGGTTTATTTTGGGGTTTGGGCATTTCAAACTCTGTTCCATTCTGTAAGCACCATTGCTTAAGAGGTTGCTGCATCAGATCAGAGAAACTGCTTATCATACAAGTGTGCATAGTGGTGCTAGATTTAATACACTTATATTTGCCCTTTCCTGTGAGGACTGCAGAGAAATGAGTCGCATGTACAGGCCTACCTCCTCTCTGTTGCATTTCGATTTCTTTATGTGGGGTTTTCTTAAAGTCAGCAAGTCCCCACAGCCAAGTAAAAAGATTTTATTACATGTTCCAGAGGGCAGTTTACTCTCATTCACAAAGAAAGCAAAACCAAACCAAAACAACCCTGGAGGTGGGTACAGAGTTACATTGCATAACTGAATTTTGTTTTCTTGTGGCAATGTTCCCTTCCCCTTGAGGTAAGACAGCAAGAAACTAAAGCCAATGTATCTGACCAGAAAGTGGGTGGGCAAGAAATACCAGAGCCATATAAGGCTTCTCATGGCACAGGAGTACAAAGCTTGCTTTTGAACTTCCATCTGCCCCTTTATTTCATTAAATCTCTTCCCTTATTCCTCATTTCAGAAGGCTTTTTGGGGACTTTGCTTTAATCCTTCTGTCCAGTACTTAAAAAGTTTTCAAATCCATTTGCCCAAATGTTCTTTGCTTAGGGGAAAATTTTCCTTCACTCACTGCAGTTTAGTTTGACTAAGTCTGGACTGAGGATTTTGCTCCTTGGATATAATCTGCCAGTAGAGCGAGCCCTGGGCTGTTAGGTTTTAGGCATCTGGAAACCCTCATGAGCTCACCAAGCCCTGTGACTGCATTTTGTTACATCACTGAGTTCAGTTTATCTAGCATTTTAGTTACATCACTCACACACTCATTTTTCTTCCCTCTCTCCCTCCAAACTGAAAGACAGAAGGCTAAAAACCCAAATAAATTAGATTCCCAGCACCTGGGTGATCTGTGTGCAACGAGGGCAAGAGTCAGGCTGCAGCTGTTCCCAGGTGCTTCCCACCACATGGATGGCTCCCACGGGAAGGCTTGCCTGATCCAGGGCTTGCACCATTTCCCTGACCCTGTTTTATTTCCTGCTTGATAGGGAGTGCTGGAAGAGCAGCTCGTCCTGGATGGTGACAGCGCCTACAATGCACACTTTGGGGAGAGCATGGCTGCGCTGGGTGACATTGATGATGATGGATTCCCAGGTTGGTGTGCTTCCTTCCTGAAATGCCAGCAGGACTGGTGGCACCGCTGGCCTCTTTTCATGGCTGAGTGCCGTGTGGCATGTGTGGCATCCTTCAGAGCTCGTGATAAGGATGAATGTGCTTGCGTAGGGTTTGTCTGATAAAGCCTTTTGTAGCTGATTGTCCTTGATTTGGGATTAGTCCATGTCCATGCAGCTTGCACCCCAATCACATTAATGTTGTTTTGCTTTCCTTGCTGTTGCATTTTCTTCTTCCCCGTGTTGTTTATAAAAGGCTTTAAATACCCATGCCCTGAACAAAAGAGAAGCACACCTGAATTCTTTCTCTTTCCCATTTTTTATGTCTTCACACCTCTCTAGTTTTGATGACATAATCGTGTTTCTTATCATGAAGTGTAATTAAACAGTAGCTTCTCACTCGTGATAACGTGCTCTATTATTTCTTTCCTTCCCTTTATTCTAAGCCTGCTCCTTTAGCAGGCTGCTCAGTGAGAGGCCCCATGCAGTGATAGCAATAGGTGAGAGCAAAGTGTTGATGTTGGCGCCTTTTCTGCCTGGAATTCTGGCAACACGGATTAATGGCTTCCAAACAAAAGCTGACTTGCTCAGTGTGGTCCTGGATCTATTTCTTCCAGGCCACTCAGGGTGTGGTATCCCATTAAGCCTAACCCAGCCTCACTGCAGGCTGCCCTCACAAATGATGGGCATGCTCTTTCTCTGCACTTGGACATGCGTTTGTATATTCTTGCTGCTGCTGCTTGTGGATCAGTTGTGATGATGGAGAGACTGTGGAGTGAGCTGGATCAGTCTGCGGGTAGGAAACCATTGGGAAGATTTGAATTTTAGCAGCTGTATAGTCACAAAATCCAACTAGGTGAGGAGAATGGGAGGTGGGATCACTCTTCCTGAAGGAGTTTGCAGTTAAATTGGATCAAATGCAATTTGAACGTCCATCCTCAGCTGCCTTTCTTTTTTTCTTCCTTCTTATCCATTTTATGTACCCAGCCTCATTCTGGATTTGGACTTTTCAGTAAACTAAGTGTAGTGTAGTGCTGCAATAAATGTTTTGCCAGTGCTATGTTGGTCCATAAAGCTGAGGTTCCCCTGGCTTGGAGATTTTGATATGAAGGGATTCTAAATGAACTTTTTAAGCATGGTTTCTGGTTCATAAACACACATTTTCACACACACAACATGCACGTGTTTCTAATTAGGCATAACATAGCCACATGCCTGTAAAAATTCATATACAGTTGTGTGTTTTTTAAAGTTTATCTTAACATGAGCTCTTCATTAAATCAAACAAGTTCCTTCTAGCCAGGTCCACATGAGCTGCTGATCATCTTCATCATGGGGAGCTGTTTTCCTATGGATAGCTGGCTTCTAAAATTGGGAAGAGGTTTGATTAATGGAATGGATCATGAAATGTTTATAACCTGTACTGTTTTGCAGATGTTGCCATTGGAGCGCCTAAGGAGGATAACTACAGAGGAGCAGTATACATTTACCATGGGGATGCCAATGGTATTGTACCTCAGTACTCTATGGTATGTGACACTATTATTTGTGATATCTATCTGAAATCACTTTCCCAGGGCTTGAAGAAATAAACCCTATTGAGGGGTGCCTTTATAGGTAGCCTCATCATAGCTCTACATCTTTTACTCACTCCTCGTTTGAAGATGGCTTCTCCCAAATTGTGTCCATTATCTATGCTGTAGGGTAAAATCATGTTAGGCAGAAGATATTTTTCATTGTCTTTTGTTACGTTTATCAGCTGTAGCTTCCTTCTTTAAGCAAACAAAATCCTGGGGTTTGATGTCCGTTTATAGAGATAGTATAGCACAGAAGAGAAATGAAAACCATGGAGAGGCTGAGTGCACAAACTATGGAGAGGCCAATGGGGAGTTGCGAGGTTGCACATCCTTCCTGCAGAAGCAGATGTGAGAAGTAAGAGGTACTAAGTTTTCTTTGTGCCCTCCAAGAAGCCTCTTTACCCATCTTGTCCCTCTCTTAGTGATGTGACAATACATCACAAGGCTGTTTGCGGGTGCCATTTCAATGACCATTATTAAGTAAAATCTCAGCGAGGATACACTGTATAGCATCTTGTGCAGAGATGGCACGGTACAATTTAGCTACTGCAGCCAAGCAGTACAGAACATAAATTTATGCTCATGCTGCACAACATGTGTCCCCTAGTCTCTGTCTAGCACATTTCTTTCTTTTCAGAGGGCCTGAATCTTCTCTCCTTCTGTGTGTCTGAAGTCCTGGTTGTTTTGCTTTGTTGCTGGGTGGGATCCTTCACAATAAATCAGTTCAAGCAGAATTAAGAAGTTTAGTGGTTGTATTGGAGGCTCTTCTAACAGACCATAGAGGTTTAGTCCTTATTCCTTTTACCATGTATCTGCCATGTGCTGCTTTCTTTAAAAAAGAAGGGAAGTTAAATGACTCTTTATGGATACTTCTAAAACGCACTAATGTGTGGCATATGGTGGACTCTGCCCATTTCTTGGAGAGAGCCCCTGATTGGGAGGCTCTTCTCTGATGCTGAAAAATCTGGAGCTTTCCAGCTTTCCTGAAAAGGATCAGATTTTCTGATTTATTTTTTTGTTTTGTTTTTTTGGGTTTTTTTGCTCATTCATGGGAAAATGTTACATATTTTCATGAGGACAGATCAGCAGGGTGGGAAGGAAAACATCCTGCTTGTGATCTCTCCTTCCCCACTGGACCAAGGCCAGCAGGCATGGCTCTGTGTGCCTCTCCACTTGGTCAGTGGGGTAAAGCCCAGCTCAAGAGGGTGGTCATTGACCCTTGACAGCATTCCTATCACTGTCCCATGCCATAAGGCAGCTGAGAGAGCACCACTTTATGGGCAGGCTCTGCTGCAGGGCACTACACACACCACATCACTGATTCATCTCCCACATGCAACCAAGAGAGCTGTGTAACACCTTCAGCTCTTTACCTGCCTGCCCTGGATTTGAACCCAAAGAAAGACTTTTTGTATCTTAATACTATACCCCTGAGCCATCTTAATGCCCTGGATTTCCATTTTTAAATAAGCTGAGAAAGATAGATGAGAGCCTGCTGGGTCTATCTTTTCACCATTTTCAATTTGTTAGCTTTTCCCCCTTACTTCTTCATTAAGTTGCTCATTCAGTGTTGCTCCCTCACTTCCCTTTAGGAGCTTTACTGGTGGCTGTGAGCAGAAGCAGCTTAATTGGCTTTGTGGCCTGCTGTTTTTCATTCATGGCACTTGAAGTAGAGCAGCATTATACCTCTTCCTTCTAGGTCATAATAGCCAGCAGATGTCCACTGGGATGCTTGCGGGCGTGATTTACCACCCTAACTGGGACACCCCCCCTGCCAAGATGTGATGCAAGTATAGTGCAAGGGAGGAAGTTACTTCCAATTGTCTTAATCTTATCTGCCCATGAGTAGGAAAAGGAGAGCTTAAATGGTGGGGCACTGATTTCCCTTTAAACTGGCTGTCAGGACTGCAGGATATCTTCTTTCCCTCAACTTGTCTTTTTTCCATGAATTTCCCGTCTGACCTTTTGTCCAGCATTATGCCCTTTATGGGAGGGCCAGGAAAAGCTGGTGGCATGTCACAAGCTGTGAAGCACCACCAGCAGCCTCAGAATTACTTCATGGGCTAGGTTTCCTCTGTCTGTAACTTCTGTAGTCAGATGTTGATTCAAGTTCAGGTCTTGCACTGGTGGCCCAGCATAATGAATGGGAGCTGGAAGGCATCTGATTGCCTTCTTAGCAAACGAGATTTTGATATATTCATTTGCTTCAGACAAAGACATTGAGAATTCAAAACATTTAGAGAAAGTTTTTGTGTTAGTAATTAAAATAAAAAAGAAGCAATGTTCGAAGTTAATTAAGCTTTGTGTCGGGGAGGCAGAAATGAGATGCAGCTTCCAAACTGACACAAAATATTGCATAATAGCTGATGGAAACCAGGTTTCCAAGTGAGATGAAAATGAATCATTTTGAATTTGAGTACTCTGTCAAACTTCGTGAAAAGGAATGGTTGTGTAGGATTTTCTGCTTCAATTAATCATTAATTTTGTTAAGGTGCCACTTAAAATTTGTACTTACAGAAATTAAGGATATGAGGAAAAAAAAAAGAAACGTAAATTCCATCTTCTCCCCCAAAACAAATTTGATGTGTTTTTTATTTCACTTGGGTTGCAATGCAGGTGTGTTTTTTAATCCAAGTAAACACTGGCCTCCTCCTAGCCCAGAGCAGAAGGGCTTCCTGCAGTTCACAGCCTTCCTGCTCAGGGCTGCGTGGGTGAAGTGTGCAGATGTGCAGCACTTCCAGCACACAGGAAAGACTTCCAGTGACCATGAGAACCAGGCTTGAGGGACTTTTTAGGGTTTGGATGTATTTATTTATATTTATAGGATTCTTTGTGTTACTGATGAATGCCACTCATGTGTTTTCTGCTGCAGAAGCTGTCCGGGCAAACAATAAACCCCATGCTGAGGATGTTCGGCCAGTCCATATCAGGGGGAGTGGATATGGATAGCAATGGTTATCCAGGTATGTCTGCTACTGGGGAAATGCAGCAACAGGCTGAGCAAACAGTGGAGCTGGTCATTTCCAGGTTGCTGGCTCCTGCTGTAGCAGGAGGCTGATGAAGCTGAGCTTTTTCCTCCCTTTCCCCTCTGTTATTCGAAGTTCCTGATGAGAATTTGAGCCGATCACTTAATTTATGTGTTTGGGCAGTCATGCTGAAGGACTGAGATGCTAAAGCAGAAGATTCTTGTTAATCTCAGCTCACTGGTGATTGTCTTGCAAGAACTGCGTTCCCAATCTGTAGCTTCTGTGACATGCTGAAGTTTAGATTGGATGTAAGGAGGAAGTTCTTTACTGTTAAGGTGGTGAGGCACTGGAATGGGTTGTCCAAGGAAGCTGTGAATGCTCCATCCCTGGCGGTGTTCAAGGCCAGGTTGGACAGAGCCTTGGGTGACATGGTTTAGTGTGAGGTTTCCCTGCCCATGGCATGGGGGGTGGAACTAGATGATCTTAAGGTCCTTTCCAGACCTAACTATTCTATGATTCTATGAAATCTGGACATTAAGAAAAGGCTTTTCACTAAGAGGGTGGTTAGTCGCTGAAACAGACACCCCAGGAAAATGGGCACAGCACTAAGCCTGTCATGAGGCGCTTTTAATCATATGTTCAGTTTAGTTTTAGGTAGACCTGTGAGGATCAGGGAGCTGGACTCAATGATCCTTAATGGGTCCCTTCCAACTTGAGATATTCTATGATTCTATTCTATGATTTCAGTTTCTAAGGCTGTAAGTTTCTTGCAAGCTGCTCAGTCATGATGACAAACTTAAAAACAAACAGAAAGAAATAGAGAATAGTAATAATAATAAAAATCAAGCAACGAAGTAGAAGAGAAGTAATGTCACAGGCCTAATCCTCCAGTTATAATGCTTGTGACATAATGATGTTCGAGGGGACCAACTGGCTGATTTGAGTCAGGAAAATGCTTTTGTTTAGATATGTAAGATCTGTAATTTAGCAACTGATTTGAAAGAATTGAATCCTATGCCTCCTTTGTAACTGTTCTCAATGTTACAAACGTTTCAGATATGACTGTTGGAGCCTTCTTGTCAGACAACGTGGTACTTCTGAGGTGAGATAAACGTCTTTTTCATCTGCTGTTGTCTTCTTTTGTCTGTTTTCTGCTTCTATCATACATGGTCTAAGTCCTCTACCTCTCCAATTTTCTGCCTGGTTTGCTGTATTCAGAAGAAGGAAGCTGGATTAGTTTTTAAGCAGAACCTTAAACATGGATAATGTCAAAGAATTTATACAGCTCAGTGAGAGATGATAATACGTAGGACAACCAGGGCTATGAAGAAAACAAAGGGTTAGAGCTGGAAGAAGATGTGTTGCATCTTAATGCCTCTTTAGAAAGGTTGCTTTGAATGTGAGAGAAGGCTTTTTTATTGTTCTTACATTTACATAAAGTAAATAAATTATGATTTAAAGGAACACAGTTGAGCAACAAGCCAGCTGTGTCAGATGCCAGGATGTAATTTTGCAAGTTATAATGGGAGTCAGAATGAAATAGGAGTCCTCAGGGAAATGAAATACAAAGTCATTTTCAATGCACACAGGGTTTTGGCTGCTGTTTCAAGTGTATGAGTTAAGTGCAATTGCTCTCTGATGGAGAGAGGTGTGGCAGCTTGGGTCACCAAATTATGCAGGGGGAGAGTTAAAGTAGGAGTGGGCTTCAGATGCACAGACCTGGGGAAGGGAATGAATTTTGCCAGTAGCTCCATTGTTATACTTGTTAATATTTAATAGCAAAATCCTGTCAATATCTAGATGTCATTAGAAGTTGAAGTCACTAGGGACTCCTGCATCTTAATGTAACATACAGGGATGTTATGAGAATGCCAAGACAAATGCTGGAGCTGCAGAATGGCCATGCCAGCCTGCTTCCTGTTCAGGGCAGGAAAAACTTGACTCTGTTTCCATTGGAATTAGTTAAACAAAAGAAAAGAAAAAGGGGAGAGGGGGAGAAATGATCTTCATGGTCAAGTCTTCTGAAGAGCTTTCTGCTATTTTATTATGCACATGTGCCTTCCTCAGATGGGATCTTGCAGCCTCCCATCCCTGAACCCACTAGCAAGAAAACTGTGTTCTTTTCCTGCCTTGTTACTTCCAGGAGGAGAAGGCTACCTGAAACGCTTGCTGTGATGTTTAAAACCACATAGATTGCAACAGCTTGGTGACCTCTGTCTGTGTGTTCATACTTGTGCATTTCAGAGGGAATTGGTACATTGTGGGTGGACTGGGGGTAGCCTGATTAATCACTGCTACTGCTAATTTGCAGTGTGTCCCTCTTTCTGTTCGGATAAAGAAGAGTAGGATAAAGAAATCAGCTTTTTCTCTTTTCCCTCCTCATCCTTCTAGAGGCCTTCATGAAGTCCTTTTGCCAAAACAAACAGAAGTTTTGCCAAGTGATATTAAAGGCTTTGGTGGAAGCCGCCGTGACTTGGGGCAGATTGTTGTCGTAGTGCTCATGTGTTTCTATGGCCATTTGACAGAAGCACTGCTTTTTTCTCCAGTGAATAACCAAGTGAGCTAATGTTAAGGAAAAATCACACAGTGCATCATGGCTGGAGGAGTATTTTTTTCCTAGGAGAAACGTTTTTCTAGCTCAGTTCATAGCATTTACTCTTTGTCTCCCCAAGCATTTGCAAAGAGGTTTATTTTTTTTTGCAAAGGTGTGAAATGATCCTAGGAAGCTCACTGTTCCCTCCTCCCCGTTACTGTACATATTTCTAGGGTTAGCATTTATCTTCATCCTCCATCTCAGAATATGAACTTACACTGTTATTGAAGGCTGTGGTAAAAAGAGTCTGAGCAGCCGTCTCAGAGATGGATGTAAATCTTGTTCCAGTCAATATGAATTAGGTGTAACCTCAATCCCTGCTCTTTCCTCCTCCCTCTCCCCTGCCTCTAAATTAAGTGGCTTATGGAGTGAGAGTCCTGAAGTGGTTTACTTATGCGGTCTGGCCTCGCATGGCTGCTGGGACTACTCTAGAAGTGAATCTGCTGGTTGCTGCACTTTTTTTGTCACTACTGGAGTTAGTTTTGGAAGAACATGTTCATGTTGAGCATGTACAGAATTAAAACCATGAAGTAAAACACTCAGTGAACTTTTGGGCTGAAGCCCTGCTCTGGGGACGCTCAGGCAAGCCTGGGATTCTGTCCTGCTTTTCCCAACCAATCTGGCAGGGCTCCTGCGTAGAGTGAGAGAGGAGACTCACTTAGGCTCTGATGGCACGGCTTGCTCTGCAAGGTCACCTTCAGCTGGGAATAGTCACAGCAATAGCCTGGTGCCAGAGTTGCAAGGGCAGAAAGGTTTCATTCACAGTGCACTGGGTAACTCCTGAAACAGAGGTCAGAGACCTCAAGAGAGGATTCAGTCCTAACCACTCACTTGAAGGGAATAAACTGAATGTTCCCTCCTCCAGAAAACATGAATATGGTGTCTCTTGTCCCTCTCACATTCAGAAAAAATGATGTATGAATTGTGTATCTCCTATCCCTGTGCTCATTCTTTGACTTTCAGGTAACAAATTTGACTGTAGACCATTCTCTGGAAGCCTAAGGTTTCCATCCACCTGTTCCTGACCATTCAGTCTGTTTAGAAAGCAGTCTCACTTGCATGATCTTGTCCTTGATTGCTGTTGTGCTGCTAATGTTGTTATTCGTAATGATTACTATTATACATTATCAATTGCTCCAGCTGCCTGCCTGCAGTCTGCATCTGAGCACTGAACCTCAAGCTGACACTACAGTTTTCACTCAGACACTAGTAGTCTTTGCCAGCTAGGGCAAGTGCTAATTTATGTTACAGTTCAAACACACCCTGTTCTTTATGTCTGCCTCAAATGGCACAGTTTATCAAATTTATGTGAATTTCTTTTGGCTGAAAACTTCCATCTGAATGATCGCTCAATCCCACTTCTCTTTGATCACCAGATCCAGGCCTGTCATTACCATGGATATCTCCATTTTCCTGCCTGGGTCCATCAATATCACAGCTCCTCAGTGCCATGATGGCTTGCAGCCAGTGAACTGCCTCAATGTCACGACATGCTTCCGCTTCAGTGGCAAGCGTGTTCCTGGAGAAATAGGTAAGGTTCCTGTGCCAGCGCTGGGCAGGGGCATGCTAGCAGGTTGCCCTGACTCCCTTCATAGTCAGGAACAGGGCTTTGATGTGAAAGAAGTCATTTTGCTGGACTATACAATTCCAGAAAGTTGGAAGGTCCCTGTTTTGGGCATGTTCTTACATGATGTAGAAATGTTCATCATGTTCAGCATGATGAGGCTGACATAATAGTGGAGCAGTCCTCAGTAAGAGGAAGGAAATGTGTCCTTGAGCTTACTGCAAGGACATAAAAACAGAAGCAGAAGCAAACAATGCTTTTTAAGTTCATATTCCTTGTTTATCTCTTGGTAACACATTTCTGTATCCATATCACCTATCAACGTTATCAGAAAGCAGGTGTGATTTGTTCTGGATTAGTAGCTTTTAAAAGTCCACAACAAGTTCTTGAAGCAGAGCACTATAAATCTGAATTCCTTCCAGACATGAGCTTTTACGTGTATCGGTTTACCTGTCTGTAAAATTATTATGAATAGCCCGGTATTGTACTGATGGCAAGAATATCTGCCAGGTTGGTTAGTCTGTAAAGCACATGGAGTTTCTTAGGTGAATGAAACTACAAGGTGTGTGATTATGCAAGCCTTTATCTGGGCTGCAATAAAATGTTACTTATGTCTTTTACATGCCAGTGTTTACAAGTTTTAGATAATGTGTGAAGTGGCATGGGATAGATAGAGTGTTTCTAAATATTGTAAGGTCTGGGTTTATTTAGTTCAGCCATGCTGTTTTATCTTTGCCCTGCCTTAGGAATGGCATCCTCTTGTAGTTATATTCTCTTATAGACCTCCCTTTTACAGTTGCACTGGCAATTTGCAGCTTAGTTTTCCATCTACTAACACTCATATTAACAGAAAAACTATCCTCAAACACAGTCGATGCACAGGAAGTTTAACTAATCTGAACAGTCCTTCCAGCCATTGTCCTCATTCTGCTTACCCTGCCATCCCTGCAAATCCTATGCATAATAGACGAAATTGATGAGCCTGACTTAACCCTAAAGCCATTGGACCCCCAGCCTTTCTGAACTGCTGATCAAGAAAGGTGAGAGTTTCATATATGAATCCCAGTATGCAGAGCCTGCTGCGGTATTTGGATTTTAAATGAGTTGGAGAAGAAAAAGGCTTCTTGCTACTTCTCCCGCCATTCACATAGAGTGAGAGCTACAGGCTGCTTCTGAAGTTGCTCTCTGCAGCTTGTCACTTCACCTGAACAGCTCAAAGAAGTGGAGTTACTAAATTTAAGATTCTTCTGGATTCTAACATAGCGGTGCATTTGAGGCTTCAGTTCCTATTTTTGCCTTTTTTCCCTCCCTGTAAATGATGACTCTCAGCAGAAAATACATGCTTTGATAAAGTGTTTTTTGTACTGCCTGTTACTCTGCCAGTTAAGAAAACACTTATCTCTGAGTGCTCCTTGGGTGCTAATTCCTGTCTGGAAATCACTGAATAGATTTTCTGGATATCTAGGTTTTCTTATGATGCTGGGGATACTGTTCAAAATATTTCCTTTGCTTTAATTTTGTATCTCTGGACCTGTGGCTAAGAAGTGAGCTGCCTTTTTTTCCAGTCTAAATATCTGCTCCCCGTGTTTGTGTAAGGCCTATCTTCCTCTTCTTCATGACTTGTAAGACCCAGTTGAATTCCCCTGTGTTGTCATACAAAGTGTACCCCTGATGATTTGTTGTGGTGAAATACACATGTGCATCTTCTTCAGCAAGTAACATCCATCTCATCATAAGGAATTTTTTTCCTATGAAGTAAATGATTATAAAACTTCCAACCATTGTCCTTTAATACAATGCTTCTAGTGAAATGATTTGTCTTGAAAACTTTGCAGCCAGAATTATCTGACTGTATAAAACCACTTGGGGATATGATTTGGATAAAATACCTCAAGTGAGCTTTCAGTTTGCAATCCAACGGTCAGCCTATTTTGATTACGTTGCAGTTGAAGAATATCAATTAACAAAGGGTGGAACAATTCATGGAAATATTGCAATGGTTCCTCTCCTGTGGGGTTAAATGTGGGTAAAAAATAAAATACCCTATGAATAAATCATTGTCCAGTTTCGACTGTGAAAGACATACAGAGATGTTAAAATACTGTGTCAGAGTGTTGGGGTTGTCTCATCTTTGGATGTCTGGGGTCAGCTTGTTAAGTTAGAGGGTGAGAGCACAGTTCTCATCAGGAGTGCTGCTTCCTTAAGGCTTGTCAGTGTAGATGCTCAGGGCAGCTGCTTACTGGCTGGACATTGCTCTTGCTTCTGGGCAGCTGAAGTTGGTCACCTACTGCATAATGTTTAGAAAGCCAAGCTGAACAAGCAGGCAGCATTCTTCTGTGCAAATATGTGTCTTCAATGCTCATTTGAATGTGTAGTTATTTTGTTAATGGGCACGTGAAAGAAGGCGTTCATTTGGCACTGCCTCACACTTGCATAGTGTGTTTCCCATGCAATGTAGTTGCAATACTGCGTTGTTCAGTGTATGGTGTAGATATCTGAAGGTCTGTATTTATTGATACTGCTTGATAGTGCCAATGGCAGTGTAATTCCCATCCATTATCTGCATACTGTTTGCAGACTATGGTCTTCAGAGGTATGGATTTATGCTGGAATGGTTTTGTCTGAACAAAGAGCCATGCCCAAGTGAAGCATGTGCACTGCGCTGTGTGCCAGGCATTGTCTGACCTGTCACTGCCTTCCCTCTTGCTGGGAGAGCTGAGCCTCTTGTTGTACTCTCACCAACACGACAGCATCTGATACATCTGGATGTGTGAATAACATTTTAAGTTTTCACTCTTTCACCCTGGAACCTAGCTCAGGCTCTTTTCCCTCACTTGAATGGTCTTTGCCTTGTCTCCTCTGGGGTCTCTGTATATGCAGGAAAGGCAGGAGATGAGAGAAAGGCATTTCCTAGCCTGGGTGAGCAGCTTCAGCCTGTTCAGACTGTGCTGTTCTGGGTGACCAGGACAAGAAGACAGAGGCTGCTGACATCTCTGTACATCACGCACTGATTCTGTGTTCATCCTTGAAGGAGAATGGAAGTAAACTTGTGCCCACAGTCTGGATAATTTCCCTTACAATAATGACAACAATGATAATAGTGCCAATGTGAGCATTAGATGAATTTTAGTAGCTATGAAAATTAAGGGGTTTGGGCATTTGGCTAGAGTTAGGCAGATGCATTAAAACGGCTTCAAAGTTTCTCCTATACTCTTCACTTCCTATACTCTATTGTTCACATTCAAAGATGTGCATTGCTTGTGTGTTGATCCATTTCTGGGGTAGTTCTCATGTCCCAGATACCGTTGCCTGAAAAACTGGTGTGAGAGTTAGTGAGGACTAATAGGTTGGTTGATATTTGCACTCTGAATATGTTTCTAGGATTGAAGAAACATGCTTGATCTAAAACCTGATGAAAGTGGACACTCCTCTTCTTAGCTGGATCCTGCTGCAGTTTGGTGCATGAGGAGTACTTCTGTCTGTGTCTCATTTTCCCAGTCTGCCTGGATGCAGGCCTGTGTCAGAGCTACCCTCTGAATACTTCAGAAGCATGGATGCTGTAGGGATGTGTTGTTTGGTGTATGGAGTAGCAAGGATGGCTTCCTACTTAGAAGCTAGGGACAACGCTATGAGAGAGGGTTTGAAACAAGTAAGGGGAAAAGGAAAGCTTCTTGGAAGAGGATGTGGGGAATGTCCTCGATATGTTGTCATTTGCTAGGGCAATTTTTGATAATACTTTCATTACTTAAGAATTTTCTCTGCGAGCAAAGTTCATGAATTATTTCCTCCTCATAGTTACTGGTAGAGACAGTAAAGAAATACATTCCTTTTCCAATGGTTTTTAGTTATTATTTAGTAAGTTCTTCATTTTCTCCATGTGGTGCCTCCACTTCCCTCCTCCCCCATGAATCAGAACTGTAGCTAGTAGTTTAACAAGCACTTCCGGGTGGGCTTATTCCTGATGAGCATTTTGTTGCCTGCTTTTTTCTGTGCTGTAGCACTATCTGAGTGGGCGATGAAGAGATGTGCCGGCTGGCTCAGGGTGTGTAACCCTTCCATTAACATAGCCAGCTGTGATTCCCATTTTAGCTCATGGGATACCACTGCCCAATTTTAATCTCTCCTCAATCTTTTCTGCTTCAAGGCTGCCTTCATAGAATGGTTTGGTTGGAAGGGACCTTAAAGCTCATCTGGTTCCAACCCCCTGCCATGGGCAGGGACACCTTCCACAAGACTCACAGGGAAGAATTTCTTCCTAATGTCTAATCTCAGTCTCACCTCTGTCAGTTTAAAGCCATTCCCCCTTGTCCTGTCACTACAGGCCTTGTAAAAAGTCCCTCTCCAGGTTTCTTGTAGCCACTTTAGGTGCTGGAAGACTGTTATAAGGTCTCTCTGGAGCCTTCTCTTCTCTGGACTTCTCCCTTCAGCCTGTGAGGGGAGGAGCCTTGCATTGTGAGTAAGTATGTGCTACTTGGGGTGAAAATCCATTATGAAATGTCTGCGACCAGTTACTTGGTGCATCTCTTACTGGTTGGAGTAACTCTCCTGGTCTGCTGGCTTGTGGTCCTCTTGTAGATATGACCAAAAGTTTCTCAGAGGGAGCTGCTATCAAAGCTTATAGGCATTTTATTCAGTTGTGGAAATGGAATGGTTGTTATCAGAAGAATCAAGACCTTCCTCTGAGCTCATGCCAGAGTTTTACATTGATTGTGTGAAGTTTAGGTGGGCACATGCCCAGAAACACTTCTAACCGGTCTGTCTTAAAGCTGCTGGGCAAGTATTTGAAGGCATTACTTGGAAGAGTTAATTTACTTGCCTCCCAGTCTCTTGCTGGATCGAGCAGGAGGAGCTTACACCACCAGCAGTGCTAAGTTTGGTGAATTATCTCCTCCGTGGTTGCCTTTTGGAAAGAAGGTTAAAAGAAAAAATCCTTACTCATGGTATTTCAGTTTTTCCAGTGATGTGACATCCCTGGATATAACATAGAAACAAGTTGTCAAAATAAACAGGAGGCGGGGGAGAGGATGGGAACTGCGCTGCTTGATTGAAAACATCACTGCTGTTTCAGAGAGGCTTTGCTCAGACAACTGCTACGGGCCTCACGCTGGGATGCATCTCCCTCCCTACCACAAGGAATTGTTCAGTGTCTGTAATACATCGTCCTGCAAGAAAGGCTGTGTCTTCCCATGGAGCTTTTGCCTCTGCCTGTGCAGGGCCTGGGTTTGCTATCAGATTTTCTTGTCTTATTCTTGGGATGCCAGTGCAGATCTCAGCATGTGTGCGTGCATGTGAGGTCTTGAAAGCGGATGGGAGACAATTGGGGATGGGTGTGGGATGTGCACACATTATAAAAGGAACAAAAAAAGAGGCTGGTGTGGTTTTAAATAGGCTAACCCCTGTGTTTAGTGGGCCTGAGGAAACACCACTTCAGTGGGAGTTTTGGTGCTGAGCTTGGTAGAGTTTGAAGCATTTTCTAAGTATTATCCTTCTAAGCAAGTTATTCTGCCAACAGCAAGCAAAAAAAGCTCAGGTGGAGCTCTGTGATGGTAGTTAGACTGATGCCTCAGCTGTGTCTTTTCTTGCTAGCAAGGGTATGTCTCTGGTGGTTGTGTGTGAACTTAAGTGAGCTTTTCATCAGGATGCAGCATGCTGCAAGTGGAAGTGAGGTCATTTTGGATCATGTGAATTATGAATGGTTACAGAGACTTCTGACCAAGGTTTACAACATCATTAAATAAGCTCTTCAAAGTACTGAAAGTTTGGTGGAGAAATAACTGGAGGCGACAGCTTTGACAGCAGTGTTAAATTAGAGAGATGAGGATTTAAATTGGTTAAAAAAAACAACCCCAAACTCACCACCACCAAACCAAGTAAGACCACACCAAAACCCAGCACAGGCTCCTTGCTGAAACCTGTTATAGGATAGCTCAGTCCAGAAATGTTTAACATTTGCATTGGCTGTTTATAACATTCTGTCTTAAAAAAAACCCCAAAAGTTTACATTTATGGGCAGCATATGATATGGTATCAATCATTTAGGACTTAAAACATAAACAAGAACCAAAGCCATAATTTGGCAAACATCCTACATATTTAACAAATCAGCACAGGAGCTGGTGCTGGCTGTCCTTTAGGAGGATTATCATCTAATTAAGCCATTTAGAGTGAGCCAATCTCATGGTATTCCCATTATTGCCTTAATAACAGCTGAAATCAGTGTAAGCTGTGGTTTGTGATGAGTGAAAGGACCTCACTTGTGTTTCCCTTGTCAGTAGAAAGCAGCAGAACATTCATGCTTCTGTTCAGTTTTGTTGCTCCTTCTGTTGTTGCATTTGCCAAAAAGAAAGGTATACTCAGCTTGGATTAATCAGTTGCTGTGTAATTACTTCAGGTAACAAGTAGGTATCCTTTTGGACGCATACATCTAGTCGCAAACCAACCATTTGTGTTAACCTACTTATCCTATAGAACAGCAGGGAACAAGATTTACAGAGATACAGCTCATTAGTCTCTGGGTTTGTCTTCTATAAACTGCTTGGGATGTGTAACATCTAGGAGGGGGATGCTGATTGCAAGGCAGCAACCTCTACTTAAAGTGTGAATGTTAAGATGACTGCAAATCAACAAAAGTAATTGTCAGAAAGTGCCACATCCTGGTTGATGTTTGCTTGGTTTGTGCTGTTTTAAAGGGAAAAAAAAGCTCTAGGCTGCTGCTGTTGTTGTTTGTATTGTGTTTTTTTGGTTTTTCTGTTAACAACATAGCTTAAGTATCTTTTGTTTCTTTACTTTTATTAAGTATGCATGCCTCGATTTATTTTTACCCATAATTTCCGATGGGAAAGGATGGGCTGGGGAACGCAGCAGCACAAAACTTGGAAGTACATTAGCAATTGGATTTGGTTTTGTGCAGTCACAGGAAACAGTGATTGAGGGCCTTCAAGGGTTGACCTTTCTTGAAGCACACATGCCCTGGGGGCAACAGGATCCATTCATAGGTGGTTAGAAAATAACTATTGTTCACTGACATCCTCTGTTTTCTTCTTCCTTTTTAAACCAGGTTTGAATTATAACTTGACTGCTGATGTGGCAAAGAAGGAAAAGAGCCAGCAACCTAGAGTTTATTTTGTGACTTCTGGAGAGACGATGGGGCAGATCACAGAGAAGTTAGAACTGACATACATGCAGGAAAAGTGTGAGCATTACCTGGCATATGTCAAGGTCAGTTCATTCCTGTCCTTACTTACGATGTCCTCGCTGCAATTCCACTCTTTTCTAAGTATTCAACCAAATAAAGTAGTGCTGTTTGGCTTTGGATATTCTTTGTTTTCCTGGCAGGTGAATTCAGTTTTTTCTGTGGAAGCTCAGAACTTTGTACTTGGCACGATTTGTCAGCCCTGAGTCCTATTGGGCCTTCAAGACCTGGTGTCAGGAATATGTATTTTATTTACTTTTGATCAGATGCAGTTGTGTGGATTTCTTTCTTTTGTCTTGGTTTGTTGCTACACTTGTTAGAATAAGGAGATGAAGTTTTGTCCTGGCAGGAGCAGCGGGTTTGCTCTTTAGTTTTGTGCAAGGCCTGACTGCACAAGGAGATGATACGCAATTTGTGTGGGAATGGCAGGGTAACATGGGGTCTGTCTTGAAGCAGCTGGGGTCTTGGATTTGAAGAGTACCCTGGATTCTAAGTTTAAAATAGCAGTGGAATAACTTAATTTAACATGTTTTATGGTCCTGGGGACGCAGGAGCACTTTCCAGACAAGCTGGGGCACAGAAAGGGTCTGTGCTTCCTGGGTCTACATCCAGGGTCTCCTAGGACAGTGGTTACCTTGATTTAGCAACTGTTGTTGAAGAAATGTCCCTCAGGTGCCAATCTGTTTGCAGAGTAAGCACAATAGTTTTCTTCTCAGCTAGGAAACTTATAGAATGGATTTTAAAATTATATAGGAAGGAGTTTTATCTTTTCAACAACACCTGTGTTACAAGCACTAATCTGTATCACCAGTGTAGCGTGAAGTTTGGATATGTGGTGAGTTGCATATCCTCCTCTCATATTCCCATAGATGAGAGTGACCTAAATTCAATGGATATTACTTGATTCTCTCTGTTTTTAGAATCCAGTGGGTCCAGACATCCCTAAATATATAAACTTTTCCAGGAAGCTTCTTTGTAGCTAAAATCTGTGAGAATGGGAGATGAAATTCATCCTTTGACTTTATCAACGTTTTGTCCATGGCTGTTGAGAGAAAATAAAATAAATAAAGGGACCACCAAGGAGGAAATCCCGTTCTGTTAAGTTGCGTGGATCTCTGGGATGAGAGTGGATATCTTCCATGGGTTTTCCTGTTTCTGGAACAACCTTTGCTTTCTGTTGTAGAAAAGCTTGTTAAAAAAAAAATATAGATTTATGAGATGACCATTACTTAGAAAATATGGCTGTGAGATTATTAATTCTGGTCTTTCTCAAATGAGCACATCTGGTTAGGCTTTAATGTATTGATTCTGGACCAAAAGGAGCCATATGCCTCTTCATTCTTAACAAACAAGGCTACTGGCTTTCTATATGATATAAGCAGCTATTTTTCACAGTTGGAAGAATAGCAGGAAGTGTTGTTTGTTCATGTAATGGAGAATGCAAGGTAGTGGAGAAGGATAATCCCTGTGCTTTCATGGGAAAGGTGATATGATCCATGAGGCTACATGACATTAGAAACATCAAAGAGAGCCTTGCAGACTCTGGAGGAGTGGAAATGGGGTCATGATCTTTCACTGCTACCCTTAATTAACGGCTAGTAAAACAAAACCCCTGAAAAACAAAAAAACCCTCCCCAAACTCCAAGCAGAAATCTCCTTGATTGCATAGGTTTGTGACAGAATGGGTGATAAAAGATGTGGGCTTAAAAATATATGGAGTATTTCACTAGGAATTTCCTCTTTCCTTTTATTTAGTGTATGCCTGATGAATTCTTCTCCATGACAAATGGAGGTGTTTGCAGTTTCATCCTTAATCTGTTCACTCTGTTATTGTTCATTTGAATCCCTGGTGACAAATAGGTTTATATGGTAGCATAAGGATGTCGGTTCTGGACTACTGGTGATCAAGGCTAGAGAAACTCTTTGAACTTTGTGACTTCATGTGCTAGCTTGACAAACCTTAATAGGCAAATAAGCTGTCCAGTCCAAATGGCACTCAACAGAGCTCTATAGGTTATGTTAAGTTAAATGAAAGCCTGTGCCAGGCCTTGCTGGATGATGGTCCTATCAGCATGTAGTTGTAGCATGCTGGAGCCATGAGGTAGAAGAACTGAGTAAAGCTGTGAAAAAACTAGACCTAAAGATCACCTAGTTCCAATGCCCATGCTATGGGCAGGGACACCTTCCACTAAGCCAGGTTGGATGGGACTTTGGGAAACCTGGTCTAGTGGAAGGTGTCCCTGCCCATGGCAGGGGGTTGGAACTGGATGAGTTTTAATGTCCCTTCCAACCCAAACCAGTTTGATTCTATATTTCTTTTGGCAGGTTTGATCTCAAAAGACCCCAGTGAACCAGTGCACTAAACAGTTGAAAGTCTGCAAATAAAACATTGAATTGTCTTGCAATTGATAAGTGTCAATGTTTCAAGCACTGCTACTTTCCTGTATGTGGCTCCCTCTCACAACAGGAAGAGTTCTTATTGCTGCTACTGAATTTGAGTATTGAAGTCTGTCTTTCCTCATAACAGTGTGTCTGAGATAAGTGGATATCAAAGTTTGTAGGATATGTGTAGCTTGATTTTGTACAAGGCAGACTACCAAATTACAGCTCAAGTTGCTAGAATTATGGTAGTTCATAAGAAGACATGCTTCTCTGGTTCAGAACACAGAGTGAAATGGCAGTGCTTCGGGACTTAGAAGTGCTTTCAGTTTTCTTTGTAGTGGGCATGGGAAAGTAGAGGAGAGATTCATTTTCTGACTTTTTTTCCCTTTTCCTTCATTGTAACCTGTTTGATGATTTCTGTTTAAGAAGCTTTAATTGTTCAGCGTACATGGGCTGTAATTCCAATACTCGCAGCACCTCAGGTGTCATCTCCAAAAGCTGCATTTGTTCTGTGTTAACTTGTGGAGGTTTGACTGATACATTCAGTAGAAAATGAACAGCTCGTGCAAGTGGCTGTTAACTGAGAAGTTGAGGAGCATCTCTGGTGCTCTCCTGTCAGCATAGAGCAGATCCCTGCTCTCTCTCAGGAGGTGCTTTGCTGCTGGACAGTTCCTCTTCTGGCAGCATAGGGATGGTGGTGCTTTCACTACAGACTTTGTCTCCTTCAAGGGTGATAAAACTACTAAGAGTAAATAAACTCAAGTAAATGCTAACTGTCAGTGTTGCTGGAGAAAAAATGAAGTAAAAGCTTAAATTTCATTAGCTTTTTCTTTAAAGGGATTTTTTTTTTGTAGAAGGAACAGCAAACATAAGCGTGAGAAAATGGAATGTGGTACTAAGAAGAAGCAGAGGTTGCAGCAGTAGAAACTGAAAAGATAAAGAAAATAAATGTGTTTGGAGGTAACCTTAATGTCTGGGTCTGCAGCTGAAATGTAGAATTTCTCTTGGGAGCTGCACTCTTTTGATGGTGTTCAGAAGACTTGAGCCGTGTGTTTAAGACCTGCTGTGATCAGGGCATGGACTCTAAGGAAATATTTCCCCTTTCAAGTAGCTGTCCTGGTTGTTTCCTGCTTATGTGGGCTCCCCTAATATTTAGGATACATGTATTTGTGTAGGATACATGTATTTGTGTAGGATACTTTTATTTGTGGACAGGGCAAGAGAGTTTGATGCAGACAGCAAAGCATATTGTATGCACAGATTTATGTGGGGTTAAATCTCATCTTCCTGGATTTATCACAAAGGTGTAATGGTGATTATGATTAAAGCCTATTGTATGATTCCTGCATTTGCTAAAGAAGAACTGTCTGGTTTCTTACTTTACTGTGGACCATCCAGCTGGGCTGCCTGTTGCTACCAGTCACTGCTGTCTGTGTGCAGAATGAACGTTGTAATAGCTTCAAACACTATCAGCAGTCCTGGCACAGGATTAAACCAGACACAGCATTTATTTTTTCCAGAGATCTTTGTCTTGGTGACTGTCTGGTTGTTTTAAGCAGTCTCATGTTGCTTATCGTAGTAACTCTCAGTGGATCTGTCTAGCTCTTGGGGAGGATAGGGCTGAGTAGCAGCAGTGGAGTGGTGATTCCAAAGCTTTTTCACAATGGTGTGTAGGTGAGGAGCTTAGGCTGTGCTTGTTCAGGCAGGCTTGGAATAAAATGCTGCCTTTTCAACAGAAATTGCACGACAATGTTTTATTCACCACTGAATTATGTAGCCAAGGTTTGGCTTTTCCTAAGTATGTTTCTAGCCATTGTCTGCCGTGCATCACTGTTACCTCAGGTCTCTAAAGACACTCTGGGCTGATGATCTTGCACAACTTCATCTCTAGTGTTCACCAATGTTAGTCTCACTGCCTGTGGTTGTGATTGTTTCTCCCATAATAACTGTTTGATCCCACCTGAGGGAGATGAATGTATTGAAGTCTTTAATTCTTAATTCATAGTAATCTGTTGGGGTTTTTTTTTCTAGAGTCTTGGTAGCAGAGTTTTCAGTCTCACAGTCATGTGTGATGTAGGGTTGGTGTCACCTTGATCATTTGCAAGATGTACTTTCTTCTGAAAGCTGATTGCCTGTGAATTAACATCTGTATGTTAGCGTTTGGTTGGGGTGTGCCAGGATAGAGGCATGTAGCCAGAGACACTCAAGAGCTTATTTTGAAGGTTGGTTTCCATTGTTTTGTTTTTAATGGGATTGGTTTCTCCCATAACTGTCGACATGAAGCCTTTTAGAGGGGGTGATTTTCAGCAGAGCTTGGTTGCACACTCTTAGGAAGGCCTTTCCTGGTGCTGTGAGCATGGATTGTGCATTGGATGTGGACAATAATCATCACTTTGCAGAGTGAGAAGGGAAAACCAGTCCCTTGGCAAGTGTGGCTTCCCTCTGTAGTGCCCCAGCTGGTCCTCTCCCTGGGAGGGAACTCAGAGCAAGTAAGGGGATACCATTTGAAGCAGAGGCTGCTTTCACAGCAGCAACAGCTATGAAAACTTAGTCATGATTATCTAGGATTTCACAGTGTTTGGACCACTGGGCAGACAAAGGGAGCACTGACCTGTTCCAGCCTGCAGCAGGAAGTTTATCGTCG